GAAATTCTTTCATTTAATAAATAATAATTTAAGACTCATAATACATTAATACTATAAATATAAAATGGAACTTGGTATTGATGAAATATTATTTGCCAATGAATATATATTATGAAATCTATTATATTTAAATATTATTTATATTTTATCGCTAAAAATATTACAATATATTTCTCTGCTAAGTAAGTAATACATAAAAGAAAATTTTACTTAACTTTATAAAATATTAAACTTTATAAATAATCAATATTACGTATATGATTATTATTATACTAATATTTGCTTAATCATTAATTCCAAATCAATATACAGTTTTGTATATCAAAACATTTTATATAGAAATCAATAAATGATATAGAAATATAATTTGTTCAATATAATGTACTTGTTTAATTACAGAAAGATGATATTTTCAACCAACCTTCATACAATTATTAACATATTAATATATATTAAAGCAATAGTAGCAATTTTTTTTAATTATTAACTACTTATATTAACATAAAAAATTATTAATATATTTTTTAGTTACTTATATTAAATAAAATTGAATTATTCATTTCAATGCAAATAATGTATGGTTGAACAGCATTATTTAAATAATATAAATATTGTTTTGCTTCTTTGTTTTTTCATATGCTATCATAGTATTAAAAATATCTTGATATTTTTCTTGAATGAAAAGTGAAAACTATCTATGCAACTTATTAATGTATTATTAGTATTTATAAATGTATTTATTAAAAATATATTCGATAAAATTCAAAATTTATAAGTATGAAATGCAATAACGAAACAAAATGCGTCTAAAAATATTTTTATTTCAATGCGTAGTAGTTTTGATGGTTTATCCATGGTCGTTATGATATAAGAGATTACGTTCGTACAAATGATTAAATCATATAAAAATTAAAAATTTTATGAATGAAAATGTAATAAAAAAAAAGAATTTCCTCTATAAAATAATCTATAATTTTAATGTTTAATTAGATTTAATTGGTATTTTAGCTCAAGCATTGAAAAAATTATATAGGATTTTTAATTGAATCGATAAATATTTAATAATAACTGATAATATTTTTTTGATATTCTGCTTCAAATCAATATTAGTCGCGTATCTATTATTAAGTAATTTACATATTACAAATAAAATTTATCTCTAAAAATTACATTCACAATTTAAATTCATTTTATGAATTAAGAATATAACGAAAAAGAAGTTGAGACGTACGTACCTTAGGTATATTGTATTTAAAACATTCTTGTTAGTACATGAATAATACGAATCTTATTGTAGTCAAAATTAGCGACGGCTAAAAATAAACTTTTATATTTAAAAATACGAGAAAAAATTTTCTGAGAAAAATGTAATATATTCCCTTATCTTTTACAATAAATTAATTTTTATTGATTTCAAATTTTACTTTTGCTGCTTCGACGCAAATTCTAGAAGTGTTATATTTAAATTATCTATATCTAATTAATATATTCATTAGTTTAAAGAAATCAATTTCTAAATGGCATTTAAAGGGCAGCTGGTTTATAAAAATTTGCAAAAAATAAAAGTCGAAATTAGGGATGATATACAGTAAGTATTTCATCAAGCGTTGCATTGAGAGGGATTTTAGAATTTGAAATTTAATTAAAAGCCTTGAATTTTCACTTTCAAAGCAAAAGTATGTATATATAATTCAAGCAGTACATTTGGTAAAACTTTATTTAAGTATCAAACCAAATATAAAGGTTGGTTTCGTGAGATTCGACGTCAAAATTAGTATTTCTTACGAAAAGCTCGGAATCATCGATCGCCTTAAGAAAACGTCATAATTGAGGAAGAAAGACCAATCATTAGAGCAGCTTCTTTACATCAGAAGGAGACAATATAAATGTAGCGATTCACTTTCTCTCTCTCTCTCTCTCTCTCTCTCTCTCTCTCTCTCTCTCTCTCTCTCTATGTCTGTCTACAGAACTTGCTGCATTCCCGAGATTCTGATAGCGCTGCGAAAACGCCCGTGGTATCATCGATTATACTCACAACTTTGAATGAAAGAATCTCCGTTGCAGAGAATCGAACATATTATGACCGCACTTCTTGGACCAAAGCATAGCACGCGAAAATGAGATAGAGTAATAGAAATAGGGGGTGGACGAGAGATAGATACGTGATAGCAGTGCAAGTTACTTACGATTTTCGACCCATCAGCCGCACCGATCCTCGGGGCATTTTCTTCGCGTCATGGTCCGCGCTGCTCCTCGCCAATGCTCCACCCGGGTGTAAAGCTCCTTGGGACACGCGCGCGCGATCCACTAGGGGAGAGACAAGTGTATGTATGTGTGTCCCACCGGAGCGACAAACTCGACGACGGGGCCGCCCGTGCGCTATTTCCAGCATCGATCGTCCCCGAGGCTTATAAGAGAGCGCAAGAGAAAGAGAGAGAGAGAGAGAGAGAGAAAGAGAGAGAGAAAGAGAGAGAGAGAGAGAGAAAGAGAGAGAAGAAAAGAGCGTCTGAAGCGCATGTGCAAGAGGTGGTAGGCGTCGCGGCGCCGGCGCCGCAAATTCACCCCAACACGAGATAGGGCAATATGGGTTTTATGCGGGATAATTGACTTCCAAACGCGCTTATCACGGGTAGTAAATTTAGGCTGGCCTTGAGAACGAGAAGTAAATGCGATAGAAACAACCTGGAGGACGCCCTGTCTAGGCACATCATTGCATCTTAAAGGACACAGACACATTATGTTAAATTATACCGATGGTTTTTACTATTAGAATTTTTTCTTTCATGTTTTTATCCATATAGCATGTGGCTGTGTATTTTATAAACAATAAATCTTATCAGATTTATAGAAAATTTCGCGAACATAATAATAATAATAATAATAATAATAATAATAATAATAATAATAATAATAATAATAATAATAATAATAATAATAATAATAATAAAAGTAAAGTCTTTCATAATTATGAATTCAATGTCCATTTGTTAAGGAAATTTTTTCTCGTACACAATAACTTATTTTTCGGTACATTCATAATTAATAACAATTTTAAATGATTTTGGAAAAAGTTATATAAATTTCTTATTAATACCTAAAATTAAATTCTACTTTTTGTTCGTAGTAATAATGTTATTCTTCTTTTTATATTTTACATTGAATATTTATTATTTTTTAATTCAATAGTTATAGTAAAATTATCAATATAATTATCATATCAATATCAATAATATTGATATATAATATCAACTATCAATATAATTGCAAGTTTTTCTTTTTACGTACTTGTAATGATACTAAAAACCAAAAATTATCTTGGTAATACCAAATTTTATAAATTATTTTCAATGGAATACGTATAAATAACTTAATATACATAAAATGAAGGTAATTTAAAGAATCTCGTATTCAAAATTAATGAAAATCTATTGATTTCATACATTTTTATTAATCAAATTTAAGAATTTGTTCATTTTTTATTTTGTTAATTTGAAATTATATTTTTATGTATTTATTAAAAAAAAATTTATAATTATATTGAATATTAATTAAATCTTATTATGATTAATTACTGGAGCTCAATTTAATAAATTGAAATATTGGAACAAAAAAATAATTATTAAAAATGTATTTTAAAATATGTATTGATACATAAAATGAAAAGAATATTAATTTTATATAATGGTGCATATTATTTTTTAAATAACGTATTTATACGCATTATAAATATTAAGAAAACACGCTTATTTAAATCGTAATGATAAATTGATATAAAAATTAAAAATAATAGCACAGCATATGACAGTTTATCAAAACGATTACTAACAAGTTTTATTACTCGATTGCATCGTTGACATCGTTATAATAACGATACCACATAACTGATTTTCAAATCATGTAAGCCATTCACACTGATAGACTTATCTAGATTGAAATCATTTAAATTTTCATTGCATATTAAAAAAATTACGTGTTTAAAATAATATAAAAATACAAAAGTAAAATAACTTGTAATCGCTGCTTAACAGACCTAATATTAAAGAACATAGCGATAAGCTTCATTACAGATGTTTTATGTGCTTTGCATAATGATAGCAAATATACTTATATTAAGAAATATTTCACATTATATTAAACATTTGCCATAGAGTCAGTCTAAATATCACAACAATCTTTAATAATTTTGATAATTTTAACTTCAGGAACTTTAACAATACAATCAATTCTGTTATTCTTAAAAATTACATTTCAATACAAATACGAAATAAACTAAGAGATATATTTAAAAAAAAAATTATTTTCATTCTTTAATAAAAATAGATGTACATCTATAATTTACAATGCTTACTTTTATTTATTCATTATTTATTATTATTAAATTGGTGTTTTGCATGTAGGAGTACGTATTATATTACTTTATATTACAAAAAAGATATTAATTTAGCCTGAATAAATACTTTTAAGCCATCGGCATTTCAACATTTCACAATCATCTATATAATTTTTTATCTAAAAACTCGTCGACAATCAACTACTATTAATAATTAATAATTACACGATAAAACGCGATTAGCCAAAATTCAATAAAATAAATGCTTCGTTTATCTCTGTAGCTTAACAATATATTAAATATTTGTTAAATTACGGAGGAAATCATAAATTATCGTTTCATGTAAAGCTACCTTCACTTAGAATATTGTCCAATTTTATGAAGTCTGACCGAACGGTGACGCAAAGATCACAATTATTCTTTCCTCCACTGTACTCTTATTTAAATACATTTTGCATTATAATCGACGAATGGACGTTTAATCACGTATTAATTTCTCTTTATATGAAAAGAAAAGATTGTCAATCGTTCTAAAAACTGATCGTGCCGTTTTCGTAATGTGACCGGCATTTCAATAAAGTAAGTCAAACACTCCATTATGTCCGTCAATTACAATGATCCACACGAGCATTGAAATTCTATAAAGATCTTTAGGCCCAATTCTTTTAACATCGTGAGCATTTTTAAAACGGACTCGAGGCTCAAAATGAATAAGAAGAATAGTGAAAAAATTCAGCCCCGGTGTCAAAAATAAGAAGATAATTTAATTTTGCATGAGAAAGAGCAAATTAAGATATCAATATCAGGATTTTAGTGTGGAAAGATGGAATAGGGAGGAAAGTATCGAGGCGCGGCGAGATTTTCCGAATCCGGCCCTAAAGCACGCAACTACCGATGCGCCATGCAACCTGCAACCGTTTAACGCTCATACAGTTGATCGACGGGTCGACGATTCACTACAATATAAACTATAAAGCGCAAAGATTTGCTTTTATGATCTTGTGTTGTGTGCGTACCGGGAGCTGGAAGAGTAAATGTGTGTAATGTTAATATTTTAATAACTATCCCCTCGTGTTACAATAAGTTATCAGAGATAAGTAACGAACTTGATGCGGCACTAATCACGTAGGAAAGCTCGGTACATGGTATGATTTTAGAGGTAAGTGCGAGAAGGGTTACTTTTCTTTACCTTCGTTTTCCCTCTCTCTTGCGTTAGCATCGACACCCGGTGGCCCAAGCCAACTCACGCGCGCGCATGTTGTCCCGGATAAATGCACGACTTCTCGTTTAATGGCTGACGCTAACGCGGTATATCGCTGATTATTGAGACTTTCCGAATGAACAAAGGCGTCGTTTGGATAGTTGAAGCATTTTAAGGGAACGAGAGATATTCCTAACCTAGCTAGGCCATACGCGCGTCTGTTAAGAAAGTCTACGAGTTGTGTACTACATAACCAAATGTTGAACTATTTCGCTGATTTTCATAACACAGATAAGGTAATAAAAAAAGAAAGAAAGAAAATATACACGTTTTGAATAAATAATTAATTTTGCAAGCTATAATTTATTGAAAATAGTGGTTCGTTTAATAATTAAAAGATTGCAAACGATTAGTATTGTTGCTTTCCTAATTAATATTAAGTTTATACTTTGCCAGGATAATTAATGCTTATTTTAAAGAAAATACATTAATATCAAGGATTTAAAAGATTATTTTTTAAATTATCTTGTATAATTTTTTAAAAATTTATGATTTTTTTTTTTATATGTAATTGTTGAGGCAAATACCTTCTTATATAATTAAATGCTTTAAATTGCTTTACTGCATGCAATGATGAAAATGACAATAACAATATTTTTTTGATAAATCAAGTGCAATAATTATTTTTAAAAAATATATGTCCTGATTAGCTTTTTTTTTTCCTTGTTATAATTATTGTCGATGAAATGGACATTTGTGAATCGTTTAACTCTGTTAAATAAAATTTTCTTTGTGCATAAACTTCCTTTTGTACTTATGTATATTAAAACAATATTTACATGTAGGTTAATAATTTGACAGTTATAGTATTATTTGACTGATTTTGATGGAGCAAGAAGCCAGGCGCAAGGGACCAAGAAGTCCCAGCGAAGAATCCGATGGTTTAAGAAGACGATCGAAGAAGTACGAAAGATCACCATCTCCAAGACGACGATATAGAAGATCGAGATCTCGTTCAAGCTCCAGAGAGAGAAATTCAAGAAGAAAAGATGCTTCTAGAGAGCACGAATGGAAAACCAATATGCAAACCGTTAACAAAGCATCTAATCCACCCAATTCAACAGCTTATCCACAGCCAGTTCTCAATCAATATAACGTAAGAGTTTCTTTCAATTATTGCAAATAGGATTTTTCGATATGTAATGCTTTAAGCTTAAAATTATTATAACTATTCATTTAGATTTTAATAGTTATTTTTAATATACACTACTAAACTAAAAAACTACTTTTTATAGTGAATATTTACAAAAATTGTTCAACACGTATTGGCACAAATATCTGTGCACGCTTAAATAGTTAAATTGCTCAGTGCACAGACAAGATACATTCTCACAAACAAGAAAATTATAAAACTATATTAATTTTTAGGCTCCTCCACCACCAAATACTAGTCAACCACCACCTCCGATTCAATACACGCAAGGCTATGGGAACTACAATTATAACTATGGTCAAAGCTATGCAGACTACAGAGGATATCCACAGGCAGCTAGCTACCGAAACGTAAGTTCCTTATTATATTACAATATTTCATTATCTTTTTTTGAGCAGGGAAGTTTAAAAGTGAGCAAGTACAAATGAATTTCAACGAGTGGAGATTTTCAGACTCCACCATTGTGTTTCATGTGATATTTTAGTGGTTTATACAAATTTGAAATAGCACTTTTCAAAAAATGACAATATTATCGTATGCAAAACTCGTGTTTTGCACTGCGTAGAAGTGACGTTATATTTAATGTCGTCGTACATATTTTATTTGAGTGCTTAGAATGTAAGTATGCTGCTACCGATAACGCTCTTGCGCGACCTTAAATTTCGTTTACCACCCCGCCCCTCTCTACCACCGCACCACCCAACCCCATCAATGACTTAGAAATTTATTTTACATGGTCGTTGCATTTCTGCTCCGATACGAAATATTTTTCAGTTAGTATTACTACAGTAAAAAAAAATGCAAAATACAAATAAAAAACACACACACACAAATAACGTACGCGCGCCCAAATCGTAAAGGTAAGAGGAGTCGCATAAGGTAAGAGAACGAAAAGGCTATCGGAAAATAACGGTGCTAATAAGCCAAACTGAGCGAGGGAAAACTTTGATATTCGCAGGATTATCCGCCGGCGAATTGGCAAGGAAATGTCCCATATAACAGCCAACAACAAGCAGTGGCGGCTGCGGCCGCGGCGGCAGCCGCAGCCGCCGCGGCCGCTACTATGCCCCCGGGCAGTCGTGGTGAGAAACCCCAACAACGCGTTGTCGATCCTGCCGCGCAGGCCGCCCTAATGGCAGCCGTCAGCAGCAGGCCGGAGGAAGCCAAGAAAGAAGGTGTGATATCGCTGAGCATTTGCCATTACCGTAAATCGAGTTTTGTGCCTTGGCTTATCTTAACTGGGAATGTGCGATTGAAGACCGTCGAATATAATTTAATTTCAATGTTGAGCGCATGGATTTTGAAAGACCATGAATAGATATATGTCGGACTGAAAAAGAAAAGTTTTATTACCTTTACCTTTCAATGTTTTAAAAGCCGTGATAATGTTAACGTGACTTTAAACGATAAATATAACATTAATAAATGTCAGAAAATTCAATTATTATAGCTCGTTTTTATTTTAAGGCATTATTCTTACTTTCGGTTTTATAGAATCAAGACTTTTCAGCACAAATCTTAGGCTTTTTATTTTTAAACATTTTTACTCTAAGTGAATTAAGGAATTAAAACTTAAAAGCAATTTCAGAATATGTAAATTTTTAAATACTTTACTATTATTATTATTATTATTTATTGAATAATTTACGGTAATATTTTGACAATTTAATCAAGTTCGTGATCGTTAAAAAAAAATATTCGAAAAGTACCCTACAGTCCTAATATTTCAATATGATTTATAATATAACTATTTTCTTATTGTTTTTATTATTTAAAAAAAAAAAAAAAAAAAAAAAAAAATTAAAATACTATATTTAACTAATGTACAAATTTAGTAAATATATAATATAGGAATAAAAAAGTATAAATATTTTGAAACTGTTTAAAGTGCTGATTCATTTTCTTGAAAATTAAAATTTTTTTTGTTTACCAAAATTATTACAATGAAAATGATTGCATTAAACTGCAGCATAAATTATTTAATATAATATAGAATTAAAAAATAAAAATGAAACTTACAACTTTGATAATTGATAATATTTTATAATATTATATTGAAATGAGAATGACCTGTCAATGAAATCTCTTCAATCGTGTATCATTTGGTAGTGTTAAAAAACGTTTTGTGATAAATAATAAAGCATGAAGTAGAAACAACGCTAATAATTTTCCTTAACTGCTGTTAATGACCAAAACAAAGCTATAATTTCCAGACAACAAAAATATGAATCGCTATTTATTTCATAATTTAAAAATAATAAATTCACAAAGCAAATCATGGAAAACTGTACTTTTAATACAATTTTAATTTTATAATAAAAAATTTATCTTGTATTGATTATTTGATAGTAATAATCAGGAGTATCGATTATTTTATTGTTTGTTGTTTTGTTGAATATTAATTGCCTAGATACTATAATATATCGCGAAAATATTCATTTAAAATTTAAACAAAGTACTTATGTTTCATTTTAAGCTGCAATTCACTTTGTTTTGGTCTAGTATCATTAATCGCACTACTTATCTTCCTACGTAGATATTTTAGAAACGTAATACTAATTTCCTTTTCTGCATGCAACTTGTGTTAAGTAATTAATAAATCTTCTACAACGAATAGCCATCGCAGCTGAATTGAAGCAGCAAAAGGCGACACTGGCGAAGCAACGCGAGGAATATGTCAAGAAATCATCGACACTGCAACGGGAATTAGAAATTCTACGAAAACAATGTGAAGAAATCGGCAAAGATGGGGGAAGAGAAAATAATCGTATTATCAAAGAAAACCAGAAGTTACAGGTTCGTACACTTTTTTTCATTTACTTAAAAATTATTTAAAAATTTAAAAAAATGCTTATTGCTTGTTTTTCTATACATTCACAAATTACGTCAATGCTCCTTTCTGTCTGTACTACCGCATGTAAATTAATGTTTTAATTGAGTATTTATGTATAGTTATTAAAGGGTGCATTTCAGCCCTAATAATGAAATTTTGTTAAATATAACAAAATTATTTATCACTTTAAAGAAGTTACCTATTCATAATAGATTATATTTCATTATTAAGATGATATTTAATAATAAAATAAAATAAAAATTTAAAAATCATATTTTTCATTAAATCAGTTTGTTATAAACGATGATTAAAGTGATTCAATTGATCAATGAATTACACCATGTAATTTTAATTAAATAATAGTTATTGATATTAATTTTCAAATTTTATAAATTTACTTAATCAAGTAAGCGAGTAATAATTATATGCGTAACAATTTTTCATTGCATTGTTTTATTAAAATATTCTATAAATTTATTTTTATAGATTACGTTAGTAAAAATTATAACAATATTATTGTATGGTAATGGTGAACAAACAAGTAAGAGCTTATATAAAAAAAATTCTTAAAATTTTATAATAATTTTATAATAATATTATTTATAAAATAAATAATTATAAAATTTACATTTTTCTTCACCTTTTAATTAAATTTTAAAGTTTTGAAAAGCAGAATTTTTTAATTCAACATTTTAGAAATAATTTTTATATTGTTATTAATAAATCGGATTGTTAATCGAACATGCGTTAAAATTTTTAAATTATTACCTTTGATGCATAAAGACAATGTGTGGATTTTATTAATTATATCATATATACAAGAATAAATGAATATTGACATATTCGTTTTAAAGTAATTTTTTACATACATATAATTCTATATATAATTATAATTTTTAAATACAAAGTTAAAATATTGTTCAAAAACGATTTGCTTGATTTTCAGGTCGAAGTACAAAATAAAATGAAATCCATACATAATGTAATTGATATGCTAACTGATATTATTGGTGACAAAGTAACTGTTGAAGATTTGAAACTAAAGTACAAACCAGAAATGATTAAACGCTCGAAAAGTCCGAAGGAGGACTTTTCTGCTAGTAAAGCATCAATGAATTCCTCAAACTCAGACAACAGAGATGAAGAATTGAAACCTACGTACAACTTCGTACATTATGATCCAGAAATGCATTGGTGCAAAACTTGTGACATCTTTCCGAAAACTGCTAAAGAATACTTAAATCATCTTCATAGCAATGAACATAAAGAAATATGTTTGGTAAGTCAATTTATAACTATGATTATGGATACCACTCATTGGAAGAATTTACACAAATATATACTTTATCTTTTCTGCACATATAAATACAGGATTATCTTATATTAGTTGATTTTAATTTTAGTATCAAGTATTTATATTTTTGAATTTTTTAACTTTTAATCGGTTGAACTTGAGAATAATGTATTATTCTTTTTAATTACTTGAAATTTAATCAAGAATATATAGAATTAAAAAGAATATTTCAAATATACTACATTTTTGCGTGAATATTTTTATCATTTTAGAATGGTTTAGCGTTGTCATCATATTTTATGAAAGTAATACTAATTTACAATTTAAAAAAAAATAATAATAATAATATAGAGTTTTTTATTGATTTATTTGTTTATTTGATACTTTTAAAAGATGAATGCTAAATTATATAGTAAATTCCATGAGCGTACTGGCAATTCAAACTATCATACGTATTTTGTTTGCTATAGGAACGTAAAATAGTCGACATGCCTTGGCACGACAGCAAGCTCGAGGGAACTGAGAAGGATGTACCATATTATCCAGGACTACGGACAAAAAGAACACCAATTAAAGGTATGATAATGTTTCAATGAATAAACTTTTTTTCTTTACTAATTATATAGAGTAATTCCGTAGAGTTCGCGCAGACACTGTCGCGTGTGCTTGGTATGTATTGAAGAAAAATGTCAGCAATACTGTTTACTATACTCTTCGTTCACATGCATTTTACATTATTTTTCTTGAAGTGCCTATTTTTGAATGGCCCTTATTTTCATTTCATTTCTTGGCAATACAGATGTACTTTTTATTTTCGTCGACGTTTTACTATGTATATTATCTTCTTCATGATGTCAATGAGAGAAAGGAAAGAGGATATCGAATTTGTGTTTTTCGCATACATTCTCTTAAGAAGAGCTACGGCAACAGTGTGCAACGTGAATTAATTTTTATTTTTATTCGCGTGTGATATTATTATATATGGTGTTACATGAATTTTTATTCGTCTAGGTTCGTGATGGTATTTGAAAGTGAGGAAGATGAAAAACAATTTTTTGTGCAGCTGACGAAGTATAAGAAAAACCTGTGATATATAAATCACAGGAAATATTTTATTATTACAATTGTATTTGTGCTTACAATCGTATTCAAATGATTATAAAGTATATCTATATTAATAAGTAAAAATTATCTATACATTTATATATTTAAACAGTTATGTTATATTTGGATAGAAAAAAAAAAAAAATATATATATATATATATATATATATATATATATATATATATATATATATACATGTGAAATGTACTGTATAATATGTATCTATTGTTATTATTAGTAATAAAAAATAAATCTCGCCTTGAACCCTCTTATTTTTTTAACCCTTTTTTAGGACTTCTGCTATCAACAGGATATCAATTTAATTATAGTTTCTCTTTATCTCCACGACGAAAAATTGCTTCCTACTTTTTAATGAAAAACCAACCTTTGTTTTCAGCGTGACACTTGTGAGCATTGTCGCGGATAAACACAAGGTCATTCTTCATGAAACTTTACATTATAAAAAATGCTCCCTAAATAATATATGACTGCCTGTGATTTATCTAACCACATTTTTATTTTCTCTTTGTCTCGCAGGTCTTCAGTTCTTCAGTCCTTCGACAGCTTGGTATTGTAAGCTGTGTAATGTCTGGATTGGGGATCTTCATTGTGCCAGTTTGCACTTGAAGTCCCGGCGGCATTCTGAGAATTACAGCGTAAGTATTCATTCAAGTATTTCATCATTAGTTTCTGTACTAAAAATTTGGATGTTATGAAAACTTTCTAAAATCTGAAAATACATAAATACAGCTTGACAATAGTGAACCTTTGATACTGTAAAGTCATTCGACAAAAATTATGTTGTCTAATTATTAATTATTTTCTTTTAAATGAAAATTAATGATTTAACAGCGTTTTGTGGAGCAAAATCCACATTGGGAAACTGATTGGATGGCCGACCGTGAAAAGGCATTTTCTGACGAAAAGCACAAACAGATTCAACTAGAGATTCAAAAGCAGAAAGAAGATGGTTCAACGTCTAAATCAAAAAAGTCAAAGAAAGCAAAAAAAAATAAGAAAAAGACGAAAAAACGCAAAACAAAAAGTAGCAACTCGGATACATCGAGCGACTCGGACAGTAATGACTCTGGCAGTAATAATGGAATTACCAGTGAAGATGCTTCCAGAAGTATTCGTGTTGCCATGAGGAATAAGATGAAAGGCTCATCTATCCATGATGATGACAGTTATGGTATTTATAACATATATTGACGGTTAGGGATAAAGTATTTTAAAACCGTAGAACTAAATTTTAGATTATTATTTGAGAAATTAATAAGCTTAATTGTTTTTCAATTTAAATGAAAAAATATTTTCATGTTTAATCCTTAATGTAAGCTATTATATTTAGATCTTTATACTTTTATACACTAACGAAATAATTAGATTCCTTAAATTACTCGTCTTAATTTATTGTTTTATTTTATAAAATAAGAATTTCAATTAAAAGTAAAAAAAGAAATTACGACCATTACATAGTATAACAATCATTTTACCCATTGAAATGCATTATTTATAATGTTAATAGGTAATGATGAGTCAGCGGATGACAGACAAATTATGAACTCTCTACGTGAAAAAATGAAGGTTAAACAAGATATGGATAACAACCAATTGCAGCAGCAGATGGTTAGGGATATGAAAACAGATGGTTACAACAATGCCGAGGCAGAGCTTCAAGCATGGGGTCCCAAGGAACCTCCAAAAACCTTCTGGCTCAAAAAGGAAGAAGAAAACAAGATCATGATTCAAAATCCTCCACCTGTAACAAAACCGGAGGATATGCCTAAGCCTCATATGGGCTTTTGGACGAAGCAGCAGGTTAACATGTCCATGAAACCAGTCGAAAAAGAAAAGGACAGGGACAGAGATGACGACAGGGACAGGGATAGGGATAGGGATAGATATGTCAAGGAGGAGAGGCGGGAGAGCTACGGCAATAAGTGGGATAGAAGGGATGACAAGTACGAGAGAGGATATAGGGATGACAGATACGATAGGCGAAGAAGCGGTCGCGATAGAGATCGAGAAAGGTGAAGTTATATTATCAATACATACTTTACGTGTTTGTTATGTAAATTATTATTATAGGGTTAGAATTGCAAATATAATGTTAGAAGTAAGCAAACAAATATTTAATTCTGATTGTAAACTTATGATAAACTTCTAATTGTATTTATTATGAAGTAGTAAATGAAAAGAAAAAAATTGAATAATTGTGTATTTCATATTTAATAATATTTAAACCTTAAATTAATTATAACGTTAACTATCTATAGAGACTACTATGAAAGTAGAAGACGCCGAGATTCCAACGACTCTCCGCGTCACGATCGTAACCGCGAATACAGCCCAAAGCGTAGTTATGATAAGTATAAACGTGACGATGAATCAAATGATGAATCTAAGTACGATAAAAAAAGCGGAGAGTCAAATAATAAATCGAAGAAAGGGAGCAGCGGACATCAAAGCCAAAAGAAATCCCAGTCAAATGTTATGAAAGGCAAACTACCTTTTATAGGGCGTTTACCACTTTTTAAAAAAAAGGATGATCCTAAATTACCCGAAAAAGAAGTAACTGCACTTCCATATACTCAGAGCAAATTTGAAGACACTCCAAAGGTTCCTAGTGAGATTATCAATCCACCAGGTAATTAGGAGACAATCATATATTTTGTATAAAATTCAATTTTTTTATATTAAAATTTGAAATATTTAGATTTTAAAATCAAATTAATTACATCTTAATTTTTTTCAGGCGTTGTTCATGTACCGAAACTTGCCACGCCAGTTGCACTACCCAATAATACAGTGTCGATCAAAGCCCAGCAAATGAAAATCCTTGTGGCACCACCTCCGCCTACGCTCAATGATAAACCGGGTAATAATATTCCTGGCGAGGTCGTAGACATGGAGATCGAGGATCAATTAGAGGAGGCAGTAATTGAGCAAAATGTGGAAGAATCGAAGGAAGATGTATCTAAACCCCCGCCTTCTATTCCTAATACTAGTATGCCACCTCCAGGGTACCCAGTGAAAAAGCCAGAAGCGACGCCAACACCATTTACGCACCAAGGGCCGCCGCCACCCTTTGTCACTAATACATTCATACATCCGCCAACTCAGGTAAAAGATTTGTTTTATGTGCAAAGCAACAAAATATTTTTTAAATTTAATTTAAAATAATATCTGTTTCTACATTGCATGTTAAGTACATGATTTGTAACAATTTCAGTAGTATACGAATATAGTATTTAATCTATTATAATATTATATATCTATTATATAACTGCATTTAAATAGATTTTCAGAAAAAAATACTTTTTTTTTTTTTCTAATAAAATGTAAAATACAATTTCAAAATATAAGGGCATCAATATTGTTTCTTTTTTAAATCTACGTTCTAGTTGACTCAAACTCTTATTACGTTGAAGAAGCTAATGTATTTCAAGTGTTTATGTATCTGAGTGCTCCTGCAGTCGTTATTCGTTTCAACAATTCATTTGTTTAACAGCCACCGGTAGCGCCAATACCGTATATGCATCAGATGCAGATACCACCCCCAGGTATTTATGCAAATCCACCACCACCATTGCCGCCTACAACGGAGATACCGGGTGTCCCAGTCGCTGATGTGACCGAGATCCCCGAGCCTGTGGAAAAACGAGCGGACGGGGTTCCCTTACCCGAGGATCTCCAAGAGGCCTTGAATATTATCTTTCCAAAGGACGAAGTGAACGATGATGCCAATCATTCTCACGGCCATGAGAATACGATAATGTATGGCTCGATGTATAGTATGCTTGGTTGTATGGGATACGGACCTGACTACATGGACCAACCGCCGCCTGAGATCACGCAACAGGAACCTGAACTCGAGACGGCCCCGGGGCCCGACGATCTAAAAATGCTGGGTATCGACGAGGGTGATACGATTCTTTAGACACGCGTACGGAACGGCGGGTAGGAGCCGTATATTTCGTTTGACTGAGCGACTGTTGTACAATTAAAATCTTTTTTGTTTATTTGCAATATTAGAAATGCACTACTCACTTAGTGTATGATGTGAAGTATTAAATAAATGTGTAATATTAAATCGCTAGAAGAGCTTGGAAATTATAGGAAAATGTTAGTTATTTTCATTATCATCATTAATTAGATTTTACGTGATTTATGACTTAAAATATAAGTTATTTTCATTCAAATGATTCATTAATTTGACTAAATTTCAAAGCGTAATATGTCTAATATTTTAACTATTTAAGTGACTTAATTTCAAATATCTCAAAATTAAAACTTCGTTTCTATCTTGCTATAATTAAAAAATGATAGAGTATATAATTAAAAACAAAGCTGATTCTAAATTATATAATAATAGATATACAATTAAATATATGGATGCTATCAATCAAAATTATATATAATATAAAAAACTTTTAACAATACCACCTTCGATATTATTAAAAATATAAGACAATTTCAATTGTTAGATTTGTTTATTCCCACTTAGTATAAAATAACTTTAAATATAAAAATATCCATACACGACCATATATTAAATAAATTATTGTTATTAAACAATTCTTTATACATTACAAAATTCTGATTATAAGCTATTTTTGTAATGTTTGCAAAGTAACTTATATAATCAACATAAAAAGTGATTTAAACTAAATTTAAAAGGTTTTTGGTATGATTTCATTATCAATGATATTATTTTACAGAATTATGATTTAAATATAATTTATGGAGTTTCATTCAAAAGTATAAAGTGAATATGTCAATTGTATCATTTTGTTATACAAACGAATATTAAGTAAGACATGCAATTTAAAAGATTGTAGAAATATATTTTTTGTACAAATTTTTATATAGTTTTTGCAAACCAGAAAATATCCATAAAAAAGCTACGTAACTAACAATTACATTCCATGTGTATATATATATATATTGTATGAATTAAAATTTTTCCCGTTCTACCTAAAATAAACGGAAATATCAACGTTAAAAAAAAAAATTGGTTCTGGGAATTGTATAATGATTTGTATTTTTGTGTGTATACCTGTGCGTGCACATTCAGACATTGGAGGATATTTTATATTTAAAAATCTAAATTATATTTACCTTTAATTCTACTATGAAGTACTAAATTGATCATAAGTATTAAATATAAAAACACAAATAATATATAATATTTAAAATTAAAATTATATTTTCTACTAATGTATATTTGTTTCAGATTGATTTGTAAACTTTTTTTTTAAATTAAAAAATCGTGTTTGATAACAATATTTAGTATTTTTTAAAATATTTTTATATTATATCGTTCTACATATAATATAAATTAACAATTGAATTTCAATTGATATTTCATAAATAATCAGATAACAAGATTTTCTAATTATTTGAATATTAATGAAAATTATGTATTATGTAAGCGATAATAACTCTTTTAAATGATGAATATGAAAACAAAAAAATTATCATTTTTATATAATAGTTGAGTTTAATGTGCTCTTAAATAGAAAATATATTTTTTTAAATATTTATGCTGCAAAGTTTCAAAATATTACTTTATTGTTTTAAATAGAAAAAAAATTAATTTTATGTATTTAAATACAATTTGATGTATATTTTTAGTGAAAAAATATAATATACTGAAATTTTGTAGCATATTACACTGCAAAATAAACAAAAATAGAACAAAAATTATTATTGCAACATCGCTCAGCCTTATTGCGCAAGGCTTCCGTATCCCAATTACAGGACTTTATTTTTAAAATTTCAGGACAGTGTTTCGCATTTTACGTAAAATACATGGTGTATGTAATTTGTATTTTCATGTTCCAACGAATAATCCTCAAAAATACGATTGATTTCAATTCATTTGATCATCCGTCTTTTGCTCTCAACTGTTATTTTTTTCATTTTAATTTGTACAGTTTGAGAAACGTGAAGTCCGCTTTTTTATTTTATTTTATTTTTTTTTGTTTTGTACACTATTCAAAGTATTTTTAGATATAATCGGTCAATAGTGATTACAATTAATAATGAAAGAGTATTCTTGTGAACAATTAAATCGAGACATTGACGAAGAGAAATAGTGTTCGAAAAGAAATAATTCGTGTTGAAACAATTCCAATAATTTATTGAACGAGCGAAATCGTCGGTTCAATGATTTTTATTGTTATATTGTAATAAGGAACCCAATAAGGATTGGATAATATAAAAATATAAGATAATTAAAATTTATAATTTGCTCAAGCCTTTTATTTCTCCAGTCTTCAATTACACACGATTATTACCTATACATAATATATTATTTATTAATTCTTTAAATACCTAGGATATATAATAATAATACATGAATTGCATAGTATTATATGACTTTTACGACTAAATTTATAATTTCATTATAAATGATTTTACTGTTATATTAAGTAAATTGAATTGTTTATAAATATATTTAACTTGATATTTCATGCATTTACAACTAGTTAACTATAACATTATTTAAAAAAAAAAAACATTTTCTTCGTATTAATATTATATAATACGCATAAAATAATATTAATATTATTTTTTTCTTAAAAAGTATTAGTACAATGAGATTATTTTCAAAGGTCGTAACAGTAATCTCACATTACTTATAAGTGAATAATATTCTATTCTAAAAATCTTTTTATTAATGCAGATTGAATCCGATTTGACAGCTATAATCCTTGAAGTTTTTAATAAATAAATATAAATTACAATTAACGTATAAAGAAATACAATTAAGAAAAAAAAAACTTATCGTTTCTTAATATACGTCTTTATAAAGAATAAATAGTAATACAAGAAATTATTGTGAGATTACTATGAATTGTTGCATTAAAATTCAAAACGCATTTTGTATTTTTAATTTATAAAGTTATTCACTTACACGTAGAAATTCAAAGCACAATATATAATTAATTGTAATAAAATATAAAGTGGAATGAATATAATAAAACTATTTAATAATTAAGAATTGAACCGAGCGTTTAATTCTGTACGTTCAAGACTAAGAAAACTCAAAGTACATGAAGTACATGAAAACAACTGTGAAAATGAGGATTCGGTGCATTTACTTTTTTATTTTTAATGAAATAATACTTACAAAGTAAAAAAAAAAAATCATTGAGCTTTATTAATTTTTAACTATCTATTTTAAGTATTCTTATTTTGTAATTTTGATTCCTTCGTACTTTAAAATTTTCATTTATATAACAATATTAAAAAAAAAACTTATTGTTTAACACTATTTTAACGCAATGATAATGTAGTACATTTAAATATGATTCTAATGTAATTACGCTTTTCAGTTTAAAACAAAAATTAAAAAATAACTTCTATAATTAGAAAATAAATAAACTAGTAATTCGTTCATTATTAACATGATTCTTATTATGAAATTTGTAAGTTTTTGATTAATACATATTTGCATTTAATATAAGTTATAGAATTATTGTTGAAATATCTAAAGATCTTCGAGTGCGAATTACAAATATCTATTTTTTTTTTATAAATTCACGATAAGTATAAAAAAAAAGATAATCACTTTTATTGTTTTAAAAAGAATTTTTCTTTGACATTACGATTTAATATCCCATTAAATAATAATAAAGTATAGTTTATTATTTATGGATTTATTCATATTTATACGTAACAACAAAATTATATATTTTTATTTAATTTTTAAATCTCTAATTATAATTATCTCTAATAATGCCTCTTAAAACATACGAGAAATTGGTATTTTACTATATACATCTTCATTTTATTCGTTGTATTGCAACTAATTTTGCAAGAGTAGACCAATCGTATTCATATAAAAGGGCCAACATTCATTATTAAATTAAATTACACATGCTCATTACAAAAAACCATTTCCAAAAATTAAATAATATAGCTTATTGTTATTCTCTTATGTAACTGAATACGAGTTTACGTTTACACGAAATGCTGTAAAATTAATTTCGTTGATTTTTTTTGTTTTTGTTATTTTTTGGACAAATTTCTAAAATCTTATAATAAAAAAATAAAAAAATATTTCAGAATTTGTGGTATATATAAATGACTATAATGATACTAATGCTTATATAATATTCCATTAAAGGACTATTTTTCATAATAAATTAGAATCACAATGGAAATAAAGATATCAAACAACTAAATAACCAAATCTATATTATTCATATTTAATAAGTTGCTCTTAAAAGTAATTTGTAATTATAAGAAATAAATGAAAATAATTTTAAATGATGAGTAGGTTAAATGTTTTCCAAACTTCTGTCAAACTCATTACCTATAAATGTCCTATTATTATAAAAACTTCCAACAAATATGGTATTTTCAAAATTTGGTTAGAAATTTTAATTTTATAATTAGTCTCAAGGTAGTAGTAAGATTTCTTATAAACTCACTGTATAATAAAAGCACTGTTTAATTTAAATTTCAACATTATAAATTTATATATTTGAAAATAAGACTCGATATGTTTAATGTTATTATAAAAATGGATTAAACATTTCCATAATATATTGTGCTTACAGACAAAATAGACCAAGATAGTATTTAAAATTGAAATGTAAAAACTATTTATGAATAAAATAAAAAAAAATGTTAAAATGTTTTATGTATAAAAATCGATTGTATATTAAATTAATACTACGATAAAGAGTAATTATAATTATATTTACATTTTTATAACATAACGATGAGCATTTAATTATTTTTTGTTCGTGATTTGTATTATTTTTGATAATGTATTAAAAATTTCTTTTAATATACGCGATACTTGGGCAATCATTTTAAAGTAGAGTATTAAAATACGAATACTTCCTGTTTTTTTTCTCTTTTTTCATTCTTTTTTTTTTTTTTTTTTTTTTTTTTTTTTTTTTTTTTTTTTTTTTTAAAAAGGGGAAAAAACAACACTATACATTTTTTTTTTTTTTTTTTTTTTTTTTTTTTTTTTTAATTCAATGCGGATCAAAGATCCATATTAACATAGTGTATTGTTTAGAAGAAATTTTGCTTTGTACACTACAAAAATATAATGTCAAGTGCTAATATAGAACTCACTTATATTTTTATGATTTACATGAGAATGCCGGATAATTAAAAATATTTAAACAAGGTCCTACGCTATATATTAAAAACATAATATATTCGAATTCACAATAACGAGAAAAGGAACTGGCCGATTCTAATATATGTAAAAATAACAATTTTTATCGTGCTTAAATCTGAAGGACTAGTCCGGCGCTTGATACGTTATCACCTCCACCAGCCGTTTGGCTCACTTCTGTGCAGACTAGTACCGGTGCGACGCAAAGGTCGATGTCGATTCTCTTACTGGCTACGTGCAGCACTTCGTTCCAGCATGCGACTGGCTTATCCACATTCAACGGGATCCTGGTGCCGGAAATTATCGATGTCGTAAAGCTATCGTCCATTATAAGTGTCGCTTTTTGCAAATCGATCTAAAAATACGAAATATATTTGCTTAGAAGGTCTATCGATCTGACGATTAAATAATTGTTCCTTTGCCAATCGAATGGACATTATATTAATTATATGCTTGACGAGTTGTTAATTTTAGAAAGAATATATCTGCGGGTTACGTCTGTTTTTCTCGTTTGATCAATAAATTTTATTATTATTTTTTTTTTATTAGGTACTTCTTCGAGCGCACGCGTATAATATTTGTGAGCTTGGTGGAATGTTGACTGATGACGTATTATAATTATTTTATTCAATATTCTGGAGAATGTGTAAGAAATAGATATTAAAACATAATTGTATAAATAATGTTTATACATATAACAATGTAACTATATAAATAAAAATAATAAATAGTGAAACATAACGTTGATCATAACCGTAATCACTTCTCCTAAGATCATTCATTATACATGCCGTAAAACTACTATTATTATAACTGTTTGCTTATTTACATTTCAGTGAGGAATAATGAAATAAGCGAGGATATATTATGCTGGCTTATCTTCAAATCTTTAAGCTTTTATAATTGGCATAATTCATACCAATTGACCTAATAGACGAGAAATCATTTATTTTCTAAAAAGACTATTTTTGGATGAGCAACAGACAAAGAGACTGTTAATAGTTAGATAATTTAAACCTTACAGTAACGTCATTGACAAAAATTTTCCTTCATATCTTTGGAGAGAGACAAGGTATCGGTTTATCAATATATCTATTGAAATTCTCCACTTATTAACTGATAAGTGGAAGATCAAACAAGGAAAATAAACGATGCGATATGATGTACGTTGTATATAATGGATATGTCGTCTAATGAGAACTCGCTCGATTGTTTTTTAACGAAAATTTAAATTTAGAAAACTTAGCTTGATACAATGCGAAAACGAGTTCGCAATATTAAGATACTTAATATTGTAAAATTTTATAACAAGAAAAGAGCGCCTATTATAAATAATTTTGTACGAGCTAATATATAAAAAAAGTTCAGGAAGGATGGAATATTTATTTTATATTTATTTTCTCATTACATAATTTTAATCGGTGCATTTAAATATTAAATTTTTTAAATTTAGCACGTTATATTCGTTATACGTTATATATAGAATATATAATAATCTAACATATAATATAGAATAATTTAATATATAATTTAAATTTTAACATAAATTATTATTTTATTAATATACTTTTTTTTAGATCGTAAAGATCTTAATCTTAAATAAGAAATGTCAAATTTGTTACCATAAGTTATTGTCATCTTTAATTTTTAATTTTAACAAGTACTAAAAGATCAATTTGAAATTAAAAATAAATTAATTTCCATAATCTTAACTCATTGCAATAATATGAGTTTTAGTAATAGTAATTTTTAATAAAATTATACGATAATATAAGTTTATAAAACTACGAATTCAAAATTTTACTTACATTATTAGTGCTGCAGACATGTCGATGTGCGGTTAACGATGCTTTGGCAGCGGCTGCAATGGTATTCTTCCAGGATGAATTTTTAACGGTTAATATAGCTTGATAAGCGAGTGTGTGTACGTGAATTCTTGTCAGAATTCTCGATCCTTCGACACCCTCGCTCTTCGACCTAATAAGTCTGAAGAGCTCTCGCATTTGATCTAGGACAGTGGCAACTCGCGGCGTGGAGTTTGCTACGAGCGATATGTTGCCGTAATACAATGAGTTGTGCAGATTCGTGATTTCCTGCTCGTTCATCCCGAGACTATCCGCGTAAGGAATCACCATTTTGTTTAGATCCATCATGAGATTTTCCTCTGCAAAGGAGGCCATTTCGAAATGAATTTTCGTTGCTAGGCGCTGACTGCGCATCTGATCCTTTATTTTCTCAAGACTTTTCATTCGGTCGCCTTCGCCAAACGGATAGTTGTCCATCATCTGAAGACCGCTTATTATCAAAAGATCTGGTTTGAATTCGGGAAGAAGTTGGCCTAGCTCCTCGAGTCCGCTCATTTTCGGATTATGTCTGTCATTATGTACGATGTACCTACGAATTGTTTTCATCGATTAATTGTAGATTTATAAAACCGCATTAAAGCTTTATAGCTTTAATAAATAAATGCAATTTTTAGTTTTTATGAAATTTATTTGAGTGGTGCCTTTTAAAAAATGAGCTTTTTTTTAAGTGGTGATTGATAGCACATAAATATTATATAAATATTGTGTTATATTGTATGCACAAAAATTACCTTTCCTAAGATTTTATTTTCATGGCCATATTAAAAATGATTATAAATTTACTGTTAAATCTTAATTTATCCACAATTTTTTAAATTTGTACGTTAATCTTTAAACTCATCAATTCATTAAAAGAAATACAATAGACTAAAATTATAATTATAATTATATCCGACAGATAAAAAATATACTTGCTTTATTCAATAAAAGTAAAAGTTTTAAATATAGTTGCAATTACATTTTAATATTATAGGCTTTTTCTAATGCTACTATTATATATTGAAACAAAATTTTATATATCATGCTGTACTGCAATTACAAACATTAAACGAGAAAAGAATATTCTGGTGTTGAGATATTACAATTACTTATTGTGGGCACGTGATTACAATGAGTTTAAGGTTAAAAATTGTTGCTTTTCTGCACTCTATATAAAATATTGAACATTCTCTATGAAATTTATGTTAGCTGTAAATATATGAAGTTAGTTAATAATTTATTTTTACTAAGTGAATTGCTATTTCTGACAGAAAGTAAACCTCGTTACCTGTTCGCTCGGGCACTTGTATAGGGACCCCAAGTTTCTCCCCTCTTATATTCTAATATCAAATGTATGTCGTCCCTTTCAACTTCCCCCCCGACGACCGTGATAGCTTGGGGAATCATTTGCAATAATGATGTTGTCAGTCTTGCAGCAAGGACTACGTCGCAACCTTCTCGCACGAGCCTCATCGCCATGACAGCCGCATTACCCCCAATTGTAGAGTAGGATGATGAATAGGAGCGAGCGCTGGCAACCAAATCGTCGAATAGGGTGTTGTTCGACATGAAGCGTCTGTAAATTGACAAACCGAGATGAAATAAGTGTTTGGGCGAAAAGTCAAAACGTATACCAATAAAAATAATTGAATGAAAAATAGTTACATCTGTTTAAAAGTACATGGATCGAAGTATGGATAATGCATTATAGAATATGAAAATTTTAGTTTACGAAGGCACAATTATAAGAAGCAATAAATATCAGTGATTTGACTAATTGAACAGCAACATTCTGGACAATTGTAATGGATCAAAATAAAATTTTACGATTACATTTAAAATTATTATTCTTAATTATAATATCATGAAATTCTTTTACACATTTAATTATTATTTTTTTCAAAGTATTTAAATGAGTTTATAAAGTATAACATTTTTTTTAATTATTAAATATTAAAGTACTATAATTATTTAATTGTTAAGTATTAATTTTACATAATTATGTACAAAAAATTCTTTACTATGGCTGACTGAGTTAATTTAAACATTACTATGCCTGTTATCTTATCGTTTTAGTTATCACATTATTATTATTTTTATTTTTTTTTAATACATATAAATTATATAAAAAAACAGTATTACTAACTCTGCAGCTGCTCCATGTCTAAAATAATAAGCAAAGCTCTTGAGAAGTTCTTCTTTGGTACTTATTTCATCAAAGTGCTGTGGCTGGCCAATATTCTCAGAATACTTCAAAAGATTTCCAGCCTCTATATACACATCCGTGCAAATACCATAACCAATAGCAACTTTTGGCCTGGGGTTAACCATATACTTGCTTTCTAATCTTTCCAAAGCCTTCAAAACATTGTATAGCTTTTTCTGGAGCACATCGCTAGAGCTTCTGTAGTAAATTGCTAGAAGAACTGCGAGTATCGTGAAACATGTACCTAGCTTTGCTTTACCATATCCCATTTTGTATTATTCCTGTGATACATAGAAAGACCCTTATGATTAAATAGAAAATTTAATGTTTATTAATGTAAACTCTGTATTAGAGTATATTACATTTGACTTTTAATTGATAATTTAAAGCTCTAATAATACATAGAATTTTTCTTAATTGTCAAAAATTTCAAAATGACAAATTAAATAAAAACACATTATATTAAATACATTGTTGAAGTATACGAATATTCAAAATCTAATATTTAAAAAATTCTGTTTAAAATGAATACTATTAGCGCTGCAGAATTAAATATATTTTTTTAAATTGCTTTAAGTTTGAATAAAATATTATTTAGTAAAATTCAATGTAAAGCATATGCCAGACATTAAAACTTTTAATTTCCATATTTTAAAATCAATATGTTTATAAAAGAGATTTTAATTATTTTTTTTTAATAAATAATATTTGTAGATTGATTGAAATATTAATAATCTGTGTACATAATTATTTATAAACGACAAGCTTAATTGAAAAATAAATTTTGAAGTTAACATTTATAATTACGATAATTATGATTACGATATTATTAAATGTTAAAAACTCTTTCAAATATAAAAAATTTATGATGATCACCGATTGAAAAGTCACATAGCCTTTTTATTAATTAAATAAACAAATTATATATATATGTATAAATAATAGTAAAATATGTATAAATTAAATTTAAACCCTCAGAGGCCAAGAGAAGAGAATGTAAAAAAAAAACCATTACGCAAAAAATGACTATTAAATAAATGCATTCCAAATGTAATCGATTAATCTACGATACGAGCAATCAAGAATCCGTGTTAATAAACTAGTTGCATTCTTCATTTACATTAGCCATTATCTTCGAATAGCGAATATAATGCATTTGTTTACCTCGTTTCCGGCTTAGTGCTTGATCTTCTTTGATTCAGAGGGACGAAAGAGAGGGGACCGAGAAAAAGGTTAGGATGCAATATCTGCAATCAGGCAATCCTAGTGCTACATACATGCACACTGCCACGTCCGATGTGCGCCCCGATCGTTTTTTTTCACTTTTGTGCACACTGCACGTAAGTCCGCCTGTACGCAATATAATCTATAAACTTATAACAATGGCGCATTGCGCGGCCGCGCAACAGCTGATAGGATACGCAATGTCATCGTCATCATATCATCATCCGGTATTGCTCGTCCGTCGCTACGGCGAGATCACGACGTCGGCCATGGATTATTGGATTGTGCACACCTGTGCAACACAAAATGAAACAGTGTGATTTTGTTAAAGCTTTATTAGCCTTGGTGTAAGTTACGACGTTTTATTAGCCATCGACCGAGTGTGCAGATGTAATGGGCTCCTTGATGCAGATGTTTCAAAAAATATTTTTCTAATTGGTTTGTTGGGTGGACAGTGAGTAGTTTGCTAATGAAGGTTAGGTTGCGCCTAATTCATTTTTTATCCGGTGATTTTTTTATGAATTTATGACGAAACAGAAAATTGTTTGCTTGTATTGTTAACTCGCTCATGTTTGCTTACTCCTTATGCACTCAAATGCAGCAAACAAATGCTACTATAAGAAGCTACTTTAAGAAACGGTAAATATACATAATTAATTTCCATTTATTTATATTTTAATAATGTTAATTTTAATTTATGACTTACAATTTTCATTCGCATAACGTTATACGATGATGCTCTTATTTACGAATGGAAATATTTTCTAAAATTCATTTATTTGAAATCAAATTGATGTAAGAAAGATTACGCTTATGCCAGGGCCAAAAATGAAATTGATGAAAATTGAATTAAGTGGAAACGTTCGAGCGCGCGCCTGAACTTTTTCGTATTCTTAATTCTTATATTAATCTTTGATTAATATGCTCAATCGATCTTTATATATTCTGTTTTTTTTTTCTATTCGAGACTCTAGCGATTTAAATACTTTTTAAAATATTAGTCAGCATTTGGTTTTTATTTAGCATTTATATCAAATAATACTGTCTATATTAACAATATTGAAAAATTGCAAATGAAATTTGACTTGAACTTAAAAATTTGACTTGTTAATATTGTTTTTCCATTAAGAAATATTACAGGATGAAAATGAATGTTAGATTGTGCATTTAGACTGAAAATTTTTCATTCGCAAAAATGTTATTATGTTAAGTACAAAAATTATCTCATAGTGTACTACATCTACAATATTAAAGTTTATTTGAAAATTTTTGAAAATGATTTTTTTTTCTTTTCTTTGTTTTTGTATTTCATTCATAGAATCTCCATTTCATAATGTTATTTTTTTTAAATGTCATAGCGGTTTTATTGATACTCATCGAATCGATTAAATCTTGTACGTAACGATCGCACATGAAGCTATCGACAAGTGTACCTTACAACAGGACTAATATAGCAATATTAGGATCTTTTGAATTATTACATATCATTTGCTTGAAATTGATATTGAACTTAGTTTTTATGCTAATAGATAATACAGAATCATTAATCTTAATTGATTTCATTATTATTTACTGAAATGTATTCTTGAAATAAATCAGTTACTTTGTTGTTTACAGAAAAAAATACAAAACTGAAATTAAAATACAATAACAATACTTAATTCAAATTATTAACCCAAATAGCTTTATTCTTAACTTAATTTAAATTGCTTTAAAAACTTTAATAAATAATATAGAAAAAGTACAAAAGTACCAAGAATTAGCAAACGCTATAAATGTAATTACAGTAATATTAATATTTTTTATAATCAAATAAGCAAATTACATAGCTTTTTTTTTTTACAAAATTTGATGTAAAAATGACAAAAAATTATACAATTATGAATACATTGTTATACTAGACGTTGAAAATTATAATCTAAAATTACCAAATTTCAATCTCTTAATGTGTCATAAAAGTAAAAATACAAATTTATTCTTGTATAATATATTCAGCAGTATTTTTCCAACTAATATCGAATTACGTATAAGTATATTTCAACGAATCAATTAAATTTTTGTACAAAAAAATGAGCTACCGAAGTTTCCTTGTCGTAATGTATTAATTTTATTAATCTAACAATAAATTAATTGAATAGAAAATAATATTTATAACTCATTTGATATTTGTATTAATGTATTAAACAGTAGTTTCTATAACAGTAACATATTTCTTTTCACCGAAAAATAAAGTTCCTCGATCGTTCTTTCGAAAATTACGCAACAACGAGCTTGCTCGCTCTCTCTCTCTCTCTCTCTCTCTCTCTCTCTCTTTCTTTATTTCTCCCTCTTTTTCTCTTTCCCTTTTTGCCTTGTGGTATCATCCGCTTGTATTCTCTCTTTCACTCTAGAGGATTTCAAAGAAATTTCCGCTTTACTTTTTGCTATGGCCTGGACACCAGATGCTCCTCTCGCCCCGCGCTACCAAACCCCATGTACTCTCATCTTTTCTTTTTTGTCGTTTATCGTCGCTGGCTCGTTCGGTATCCTGTCGCGAACACTCGAAAGGTCCTCACAAAATCTGCGGCCTGGAGCTTCCTGTGCTCAATGATAAGTAGGCGTCATAGACGTAAAAGCGCTCCAAGGAACAGTAGTTTTATTTTTACAAGGAATCGTGTACATACGACTATGTTATTAAGGACATTTTTGCAATTAATCGAGAAGTGATTTATTTTCTTTTATATCTTATTTTATTTACTATTACTTTGTTTTTATTCCATTCGAATCGTTTAATTAATTTCAACGTTAAGATGTCTGGACTTACAATATTAATTACATTTATAAATTAAATTATAAAAATAAAATGATACTTTAGGATTTGTGTAAAAATCTATCGATCAAATGTTTATTTATCTCTTTGTGCTCTTAGAAAATTTTAAATTTACGACAGTGCATACTGGACGGTACAAAAGAACCTTTTCAAATGAAATAAAATTGAAATTTCTATTTAAAATATCTTTGAAAATGGCTTTCTCTTTTGTTATTTATACGAAGTAAGATCTCAGTGTAAATATTTTTTAATCTTTTCTATTTATTGGACTAAATAAAATCACGAAATAATTATAAAGATGTATAAGGATTAAAATATTAGAATTGTATTCCCTAATACTTCGTTTTAATAACAATTGGTCATCAAGTATAATATATCTTATACAAATATACAATTCTATATTATTTATAAACAATATAAATAATTAAAAAAGGATTATATTAAATTTAATGATAGAAATTTCTAAAGTTCTACAGTAATATTAGTGTATTTTATTATTATTTCGGCTTTTTTATTTGATGATTTTCAGCATCTAAGCATAAAATTAATGACAAATGACATAGTCCTAGTATTTTTCCATCTTTACGATAGCAAGAATTTTTTTAAAATTAAATATATTTATAAGAAACACAGTGGCTATATATAAAACGATGTAATGCAAAATCAATAAGCATGATTTGTAAGGTTAAAAGAGGAAAAAAAACTATCTAGAATCGTGTATAAAAAATTCATTATGAATGACTTTTTGTAAAACTACACTGAATTGTAAATATTCGACAACTAAATTCGTTGAACTACTCATCTGAGATCACATACTTTAGGAATCACCATTCTGGATTAGCTTTATCCATTCCAAAGGCTGGAGCGCAGTTATACCGGTAAATAACTGACCTTTACTTCAGGTGCAAAAGAGAAAGAGCTGGAACATCCCTTGAAAAAAAAAAAAAAGGAAATAACCTGTACCAGCACTGGTATTCCTTATACCTGCAGTTTGAAGGTCTGAAAAGTATAGAAGAGTGAGATAGGCTCTTAGGTCAGTTTTCTCCTTTTATTTCTGAAAATTTGACAACCAATAAATTCACTTTCTCACTCATATACCCACCTCCCTCTCGCTTTATCAACGTTTGTCTTGTATTACCTGTTTCTTCATTCTAAAACTCGCACACTATCATAGCAAATTTCGTATTTTAAATCCGAGCCGCCACATTGTTTATTTACTTATGAAACAGACTGTTAAAAGATTATCGGTTCCATAGAGCACCTTATTTTGTTACCCATAATTACGACTGAAACAGTCCAATTATTATATTTAATATTCGAATCGATTAGTACCTGTTGATGATACTCTAAATCTTCAATTTTGTCATATCCAGTGGATTAGTGCATTCGTATTGTGCAGAACAATAAATAAAATTGTAAAATAATGTTAGTCACGAGTATTAGTTGTTCATTTACCAAACAAGTTACATACACCTACCTACGTATGATTGAAAAATATGGTATGTGCATTACTTCATAAAAGCCATAACGGGATTTATTAAAAAAAAAAAAAAAATACTTAGAGGTGCAAATATATGATGAAGCTATTGGCGTGATACCTCGCGTTGTAAATAATCAATTGTTCAAGCGTGTGAAAATGACGGGAGCTCGTTGCAAAATAACCAATATGCGAATGAGAGGGCGGGAGCAACTAAGCGGCAGGGAGGGGGGTGTAAGAAGGCGGGAGGGAGAAAGATGCAGCCGCGCGAGCGCGCCTTATTCACTCGGTCCGTCCCTTTCTCCCTTCATCCTCTCATTCTTCTTCGGGGGCCCGCCGGCCGTCAGTTTGGCGCCAGGGGCTTCTCCTCTTTTCATTCTTTCTCTCTCTCTCTCTCTCTCTCTCTCTCTCTCTCTCTCTCTCTCTCGCTCTCGCTCGGCCGTTTTAACGAAGAAGAAGAAGAAGAAGGAGGATGAGGATGAGGAGGAGGAAGAGGAGGAGGAGGAGAAGGAGGAGGAGGAGGAGAGTGAGAGAAGAAGAAGGTGAAGAAGAAGATGATGATGATGGAGAAGAAGATGAAGAGACAACGGTAGAAGAAACAGCCCTCAGTAGCCAGGCAAGCCTCGCGTGCCTAATGAACCGGCCTTGTTGCATTCTCCAGTTCTCACAGGAAATCGCAGTGCCGCTTGTGTCGGCAGCCCGGAAGGTTGGCGTTGGTTCAGTGTTGCCCTTGAGCTGGTTCGAAAATTCGCGCGCCGCCGAGAGGAGCTGTTGTCGGCTAAGGCGTAGGCGGGCGTCACTGCTCAGGAATCTCCGCAAGCGCCGAACGTCCTTCGGATTTCGCTGCGAGAGGCGCCGGCGTAAGCCGCACAGCGCGATATACGTGACTTCTTTTGTTTACAACGGAGGCTGGAGGCTCTGGTGCAGAGCTACGGGGATGAGGTAGACCATGCGATGATTCGTTTGTGACGGACGCTGACGCGGCCAACCGGTTTTTTTTTTCATAATTTCAATGAGGTTTTCTTATTCAGCTGGCAATATTAAAATATTTCTGAATTCTTCGACGAACTCGTGAGGTCGTCGATACGCTTGAATATTGGCTTGATAATCAAACCGCGTTGTTCGACTATTTATTACAATATTTTCACGCCTTTTTTTCCTATGACAATAACATGTTACAGTGTGTTAAATCATTGTGTAAAAATTTTATTCTAATTGCTGTTTAAAATTAGCGAGAGTATAAAGACACTTAAGTTCCTACTAGACAAATGTAAAATAAACGGAACCTTTACTTTACTTTTTACGTTATGAAAAATTGTTTGTATCATGTAAATTCATATACCATAATTATTTTTATATCTTAAGCCTACTTTGAATTTTTGCAACTTATTTCAAGATTACTACATAGGTGCATTCATTCAAATTAATATGAAAACAAGTGTGGTAGAATTTTATACAAATTTTACTTTATACCGACATAAAACCGCCGTTCGTTTCGTCACGTTAGTCGTTAATTTTGTAATTACTTACTAACATTTTCTCATTAATATTTATTGTTTGTTAAGGCGAAACGATTTTTAAACAACGGTTTAAATGTACGATAAAATGAGTTGTTTGTATAACAAAATATTTTAAAATCAGCGTTCACTTGGCAATGTATCATTTTACGCGAGCAAAAGTTTTTTTATTTTTTTCTATACGTGTCAAAAATGTGCTAAATTTTTGTTTTTTATATTAGTAAATTTCATATCGAAGCTACAGTTAATTTAATTTTAGAACATTTATATGTAAATTTTTTAACTTTAGTGCAAGCATTCTGTTACAAAAAAAAACTTTCGATAATACTTATATTCAATGGAGAATATATTTTTATACATTAATTAATAATTATTAATATCCTTGAAAAACTAAATGATTTTTCGCATAGTATGGGCCATTCTAAATGGCAGTTGTCCGAATGCAACACAAAGGACGCGTTACCTATAATATAGGATGCGGGAAAAGTTCGTTTATTAAAAACAAATATTTTTCAAGAATTTAATATATAATAATTATACTTTTTTTTTCAATTTGAATCACATATATATTTTAATAATTGCATAAGTGCATTGATTGCAATTAATGGTAGATTGCATTGAATACAATTTTTAGAATTATTTATATTAATATTAATATCGAGTTAATATTATTCTGTTCTTAAATTATAGTATAAATTAATCGTTTATAATTTATCATTACTATACAATTTATTTTTATTTCGTACTGTTATTTTTTAATGTAATATGAAGTTTTATTTTGAAATTTTTCACAATGAAATTCTATAAAATACATTTCAAGAATTAATTTTAATTTTCCATGGACTTTGTGATTAATTATATTTGAAAAATTATCAGTGTATTATAATTGGCCAATAATCATATCATAATTGTATAAATGCCATGTTTTTCGAATGAATTTCGAATAGATTATTTTTACGTAAATGTTTTATAATTATTGTTCAACATTTGAATATAATTTGAAACGAATAAAAATAATCGATCGAGTATTTTAAAGTTCATCCGTATTTTTCTGCATGTGCTGACTTATTATAACAAACATAATAAATTATATTTAAAATTATAATGCACAATTGTAGATGAAATTTAAGCTCTTGTGCGATTAGGGATAGTAAAAAATTCAATTAATCCGCTAATGATTAAATTATCAAACGTTTAAGAATAATTAGAACTTCTATATAATTAAAATATCTGCTGGAGTTTTATCATTCATATCATCATTATATCGTCCTCCGAAACGTAACAGGTAAAATACACTTCCCGTGAAATAAATTCCACCATCGACATTGTCCTCAAATCTTAGCTCGTGACAAAAACTAATGCAGCTGTCATCTCTTCTTTTACACCGTCCGATCTGTTAAAATAACCGTTGTCATATATCATCCTAACGCAGTTCTCTTTGATATGCCGAGCAATGTGCCTCTAAATTTGTGTATCTGGTGCATTTGCGATTAAAAGCGCGTGCCGATACTTTTCGTTTGCACTATTGTCACGGGGCTGAGAGGGAGGGATGGACAGATGAAGAGAGGGAGAGAGAGAGAGAGAGAGAGAGCCAGCGTGGGGCTCCGGGTCTGACACCCAGTGCACGCGCATCCCGAGCTCTTGGATTACGGTCCAAGTGTATATTATCAATTGTGCCGCCGCACTACACTATTTTTGCAAGCGAACGCGCCTGTTTTTTTCGCTCGCTGGCGTTACGTGCCCCTTATCTCTCTCAATTCAATGATTTTTTTACACTAATGATATCTCGAGGAATAGTTTCGTGCGCGCGACCGGCTCTGGTCGATCTTTATGTAATTTCGATCGGCAGTGAGATTTTTTGTCGTATAAATAAAAAGTTTTTAAATTTAGTGCCTTATAAAATCGATTCTGCCTTGGTGTGTTTTTTTTCTTCTTTCTTTTAATTCAAACTAGTACGATTTTACTCTTGTTTCATAACAATTTTCTTCGTTTTATTAACAACCCCAAATACAGGCATATAAAATTTGTTGTTAATTTAATTTTATTAATAATTTCAACGCATGCATTTAAATAAGAAAAGTTATATAATGTTTTATCTTACATTTTCTTTATAACTACTAATGGTAATAAAATTTAATACCTGTCTTATACATAGCTTTAAGAAATAAAATCTCATTCTATTATTATAATTTAATAAAATACTCTTTTTACTAATGCAAGCAAAATGTAATAATCAATTCATAAAATTAGATCGTTCAACTTATAAAAACAAAGGAAAGCTAAAAATATGTCGCTACAATTTGAAATTTATGATAAGCGAACAAAATATATATATATATATATATATATATATATATATATATATATAAAATCGCAAATACGAACAACTTGATAATGCCGAAGACGCGACATCGAATTGTTGCCATTCAGATAAAAAAAATATAAGAGTTAATTCGCCATCTTAACTTTGATACTTCAGCACAGTAGGGTCTATTTTTAGAAGTATCATTGCACATCGATGTATATACATCTCCCCTCTCTTTCTCCAGAGTTTTAAATGTTAGGAGAGCTGCTTTCTGTCAATAATTTATTTCTTTGCTCACTCTCCTTCTCCCTTCTACTTTTTTTCATTATTTATATAATATAGATTCACTAGGTAATTACTGGCGCAAGCCTAAATTAAGAAAACAAAAAAAACAAACAAATAAACAAACAAATAAATAAAATAAAAACAATTAAAAACAAAGACATTAGATGAGTGATTTAAATTTAATTGTCTGAATACTTTTTCTAAGAAACAACAATTAACAATTGCATTACAAGTTTGTATTTTTTCAGTATATACATATGCTTGGATCTTTTCACCCCCATCAATGATTACTGACTATTGAACCAAGGATTAATAATATCATTCGTCCGTTGAAAATAGCACAGTTCTCAGTGTAAGCTTAGTGAGTATTATTTAATGAATTTTTTTTCTTTTTTTTTTATAATTATTTGCTTTTTAAATTACTTATCTTTTGTGTATTGTTTCTTGTTTATAAAAGATTAGAAGAGAACTGGATCAAGCAAGGTAACAAAAGCCTCAAACAAGTGCTTTAAAAAAATGGATGGCGAAGAAAGGTCATCCAGATCAGGGCCAATGGCATCATTGAACAATCTCTTTTCCTTCACTAGTCCAGCGGTCAAGAAACTTTTAGGTATTTTGAATTAATTGCAGTTTTAAATAATATTGGCAAAGTTTAAAATATTGTTGACACTAACTACATAAAATGATACTACAGTTATATCTCATTTTTATAATGATTGTAGAAAGAAAAAATAGAACAAAGTTTATAATTAATCCAAAGTTTATAATAAATGTATTTTAAGCTATACTATTATATTTATAATAATACTATTTATTTCAAATTTATAAAATAATCAGTGACTGTAGTTTGTAATTAAAATTAAAATAATTACAAAGTAATTTTCAATAAGATTTTAATAACCTACTGGGATTAAATCCTCGTTCATTATTATCGTTCATTATTAATTAATACAGTTAAGCGTCTATTAAAAATTTTGTATCTATAGCAAAGCTAAAAAGTCTGTGTAAATTCATATAAAACATAAATTAATGTATTTTTAGGTTGGAAACAGGGTGATGAGGATGAAAAATGGGCAGAAAAGGCAGTGGAATCATTAGTAAAAAAATTGAAAAAGAAAAAGGGTGCCTTTGAAGAGCTTGAAAGAGCTGTCAGTAATCCAGGAACCCCGAGCAAATGCATAACTATACCACGAAGTCTTGACGGTAGATTACAGGTTTCTCATCGCAAGGGTTTGCCACATGTGATTTATTGTCGAGTTTGGCGGTGGCCAGATTTGCAGTCCCATCATGAATTAAAACCTCTAGAAAATTGTCAATATCCATTTTCCGCAAAGCAGAAGGAGGTGTGCATCAATCCATATCATTACAAACGAGTTGAAAGTCCAGTTTTACCCCCAGTTCTTGTACCGAGGCACTCTGAGTTTGCTCCAGGCAGGTTACCGGTAACCTTCCAGCAGCACAGTGAATCGACTATGCCCCAGAATATGTCTTATTATTCAAATGACTTTAATTCCGGAGGTATGGCTGCCAATAGTACAGGGAGTATCGATGGTAGTGGCAACTCGCCAGTATCTTCGTACGGCTCTGTATCGAGCCCCATTAATGCAGCTAATAATCATAATCCTTATGGTGCAAATAATGGCTTATCTGAAACTCCACCACCTGCGTACTCACCATCCGAAGATGGCTCTCAGTATGGTCAATCTCCATCTCCCAATTCAATGATGGCCATGGATATAAGCAATGCTCAAGATGTAGCACCAGTACCGTATCAAGAACCTCGCTACTGGGCATCCATAGCCTATTATGAACTAAACTGTCGAGTGGGCGAAGTTTTTCATTGTCAGTCGCCATCGGTAATAGTTGACGGTTTCACCGATCCTCGCAACAACTCCGCTAGATTCTGTCTAGGACAGTTATCAAACGTTAACAGAAATTCGACAATAGAGAACACCAGGCGACACATTGGTAAGGGCGTGCAGCTGCATTATGTGGGAGGGGCGTTGTTTGCAGAGTGCAATTCAGATTCGGCTATTTTCGTGCAGTCTAGAAATTGCAATCACCAACGGGGCTTTCACTTAAGTACGGTCATAAAAATACCTCCCACCTGTTCCTTAAAGATTTTTGACAATCAGCTGTTTGCCGATCTGCTCGCGCAAAGCGTCTGTCATGGATTCGAAGCTGTTTACGAATTGACAAAAATGTGTACAATAAGGTATGAAGAATCTATTTATTTTAATTTTATTGTTACGTAAACGTGAAAATTATACAGAATAAAATATTTCATTTTAACTTTAAATTTAATTTAATAAGGTTATTAATACGAAAATATCTAATCCTTTATTGTCGCTTTAATGTTTTAGTTGTAAAGACTTTCATTTTTCATTACTCGAAATTAAATTTCTATCTGTAATTACGTATTACAAATTAGCTAATGCAAAGTATAGAATTACGATTAATTAAATTACGATTCATATTCGGTAATCGGATACAATTTCGTTATATTTATACATCAATAAGTAGTGCAATAGATTTTTGTTCAATTTTTCAACTCAGTATACGTTTTCATTCCATTAACATTGCATTCTTTGCACAAAAATAATAATGTTATAAAATAAATATTGTTAAATATGTTATTGCATTCTTTCTTTAATAGATACACTAATTATTTAAATTTGTATTTGTAGAATGTCTTTTGTCAAAGGTTGGGGAGCTGAATATCATCGTCAAGATGTCACCTCGACACCTTGTTGGATCGAAATGCATCTTAATGGTCCACTTCAGTGGCTCGATAATGTTCTTACTCGTATGGGTACACCACACAACGCCATAAGTTCGGTGTCATAAAATAAGTGTATTTTTTTAAAAAACGGAAAATCGCTTGAAAGCCACGTTTTAAGAATTCTCGATGTTTTGCCAAAAGATTGAAATTAGTTAGGATTATGTAAAATTAAAATTTGATCGTTCAATATATATCATTAGTTGCATTAAATTTCGTTTTTGAAAAATAAATAAGTTTCTTATTCTTTCAAGTGATTTTCAAGCAATGTAGTTATTTTGAATATGTAAAAGAAGTTCTTTTATATATTTCAAAAAAACGAAAAAACAAAACAAAACAAAAAAAAAAAACAAAAAAAAATCAAACAAACAAACAAATAAACGAAAAAAAAAACAAAAAAAAATCAAACAAACAAACAAATAAACCTGCAAATAGAAAATTCATATTTTTGATGAAACAATTGAAACAGTAAATACTTTTTTATGTGCAATATTTTATAAGCGAGCGTATATCATATCAAAAATCAAAAGTACTGATTTATATAAGAAAGAAAAGACTTATTGATGATTTAAAATATGTGAGTCATATTTGAAATATCAATATTTATCTTGTATTTTTCGAATGAATGTTTTAACTAACATTTACTTAATTTCATTTTATTATCACGTCGATGAAATGTATAGGTAAGATTATATAAAATTTTACAAAGACAAATACTCTTTAAATTTAAATCAATGTTGTACAGTTTATTAGTTTATTTTAAATATAATTATTTAAGTTGCAATTAAGTAGTAGGGAAGTCCTTATGAAATTCAGCAACGTTGCTGTCTATTACAGAAATATTAAATTTTTCTAGTAATATACTGAACTATAGTAAACATGGTTGTAAATTGAATATATCGACTTTTTAATGACTCCTTGTAAAAAATATTCTAATTGCAATATCATATATATAATACATATAAATTATTATAAATATGTACAGAGTAAACTATATTTTTGTCTTCCAATTAATATGACATGTTGATATTAAGCGTACGGAGCTTACCATTTATTGTAAAAATATTGCGGACATTTCAAGTACCGCTAAACTTTAGTTTTTTGTACTAGATTGAAGGTGCATCAATTTAACTGCTTCGATCTTCTCTCGATGTAACTCTCGATGCTGTTCGTAGACCTATTACAGCATACATCTTGCATTCAATATCATGAAATTCTCAGTTCCTCTTTTATTTTTAAATGTAGAATGAAATTATTTTAAGTTCCTCCACAGTTTATCGTATCAGAGGAAACGAATGAAATTCAATATGTCTGAATTTTGCGAATGTTTAGCAAAATCACTAACTGTTATATCGTGTAAATCAAAATAAATGTAATTATGCACCTAATGGATAATCGGTTACCGGCTACTGGCATAATCATGAATTTCCTCCACTCCTTGAAGCGATCAAGCGTACAAGGCATAAAATGCTGCAAAAATCAGTATGACGTTCGAATTTAGGTACGATTTCAGTCAAATTCGAAGGCGTGACTAGAAGAATTTTTCGAAATTAAGATTAATAAATTTAAATTCCCGTTCAATTCACGTTGAATGCGAGGCTTAACAAAATTGAAGCCTGTTAACTTGTATTTTGTCATCTGAAGAGTCTTCGCTTCTCTCAAAATCGGTAATCGTCCGTGACGTTCCATTGACAAATCACATTGTGTAGGAATGAAACTGTGATGAGTGGCAAGGATCACCTGCCACTCTGCTTGATCAGCCAGTTGCTATATAGATACAAAAATATATCTAAAATTTCAAATTTTTAATAATTGTGTGTAAACGTTAAAAATATACTTTAATTTTGTTATAATTATATTTGTGAAAATATATTTTTTCAAATGAAAAATAAATACTTCTAGAAAAACAAATATTTGTTTATTTATTAATATATGTAGGCTTGTTACTATTAATATATGTGTATGTTTGCTAAAATATTGGCCAAAAATAATACTCAATAAGACATGTCATTAAATATTGATTTTAATGAATATAATAAAATGAATAAAAATAGAGGTTACATTGGTTACATCTATAATTAAAATTAATCGTAAGTTCAGATACTGATTGTACATATATATATATATATTTCAGTTTTGATCATTATCATTACAATTTACTTTTGTAAATTTATTTTTATCACATTTTAAAATTGTAAATAAATGCTTATTAATCTCAATATATTATAATTATTCATCAATAATAATATTATATAATAAAATGTTGTCGATAATACATATTTTTAAGTAAAATAAAAATGTATTTCAACAAAATATTTATAAAGCAATTTTGCATAAATTATTTAAACTACTTTTTGATTCATATTTATACAAATAGAAAATCTTCAAAGAGTATTATATGCCAATTCACGTGCAAGACAGTAGTTTGTAAAAGAACTTTTGATAATGATCCCAATGTATATTATTATTAATCACTGAAGTGGATGTGGAATATATAAAGATCGATCTATTCTTCAATAGTAGCTTTTACTCCTTTTTGTAAGTATTCAACTTAAATGCAGTATAAGTATCGCTTACTGATGATTTATCAACCAACAGATTATACCGTTTAGACGGAAGCGACTATTTTCAGCAAAGCGATGTAGCAAACACCCCAAGACAGTTATTCTCTAACGCGAAGAATTATGTATTGGAGAAGTTTAATCGTTCTTTCGATATACACGATGTACACGCACTTTTTAAATAAAAATTAATAAGTTGGTGGTCGGTTATTGCAGCGTGACATAGTGTTCCAATAGCCATAACCGTGCGATGCATATTGTGTTTTATAGTGAACCATATTGAATCATTGAATCAAATTGACCCATTGAATTAAATATAACGCATTCTTAAATTGTGGCTAATTTAATTTTTTACTTTTTATGTCTAAGAGTTGATTTTTCTGTACACGAAATAAATAATTATTACAGTGTTCAATTGCATATGTTGAAATTAATGGAACCATAATACTTAAATTTTGATTACATTTCTCATAGGCATAATATCATTAGGACTTTTACATAGAATATTTATATTTGAGCTATATGTACATATTAATCTATGAAGTGTATTTCAATTACATTATTTATTTAGAAATATTATAAAGACTAAAAGTAAATAATTGTTGTTTCTTTTTTCTTTTTCTTTTTTTTGTTTTGTTTTTTTTTTGTTTTAATGCTTGCGTTATTATTTAATGTATCTTTTTTCCATTGAATCAGCGCTGATCAACAATAAATATTTGTCCTTTTCTCGATTCGCTATTAGATTTATAAAATTTTTCTTAAAGCAAATGTGATTTTCCGAATACAATTAAAAGATTTTTTATAAGATTAGTTTTATTGTAGCCGGCATTTCGAAATGCGGCTTATACAAAAGTTGCTTTGCCCTGCGAAAGTCTATTATCAGCTTCTTCATTAATATTAATAAATCAAATTGTTTATTGAGAAATGATTGGTAAGCAATCATTTATGTTTTGTAACGGATAATTAGATCACCTCTCATTGAAATTTTTAAATTAATTTTTATACACATTGAATGAAAAATTCAACAATAAAGGAGCTTTTGGAACCAGATGTTCACAATGAACATAAAAATGACGTTTATCACTGAAAAAGATTATAACAATTATTTAATGAATTTTTAAATAAATTTTCAAAATTCTCCAAATGCATAAGAAAAGACCGCCCTTTATAAACCTAAGCTATCATTTAATAATATGACTGAGGTATCTCTATCTTTTTATTTGCATTAGTTATAAATTGCAATTTTCATCATTTATGTTGCTAATATGGTTCATGATCTACCAATTATTGAAAGTTTCGAGGGTGTAAGTGCTTCGAGAAAAATAAAAATAATCCAAAAACTGTGATGGCTATAGTTTGTTGTATTAGGTGGGCGAAAAAATTTGATGTGCGGATTGTTAAAAGAGGCCCATTTTTGTTGCTGTAATACATAAACATAAAGCATATTTCATTAAAAATTTATTATGTAGAATTGTCATGAAAATTTGTAATATTTTAATTGAATAAAGGTTAGTTAAATGAATAAATACATTTTAATTTACTATTAAAAAAATGAAATTTTTTCTTATGCATTATTAACATTAATTGCGATGTAGTATTTTCATTGCTCTCCTGCAGCTTTTAAACATTGTATGTAATTATATATATTTATATTTTAGGGTATATTTTTGTGACGATTATAAACAAAGGAAATTTAATCGTGCGATTGAGTTTCTTAATGGCGCGGGGTGTTATTACGAATTTTTATATAAGAATGTTTTTAAATAGTTCAAAGATATAATTATTGCATAATAGTGCTTAATTCTTTAATTAATTACAATGTCAGCCCTAATTTGCTGGAAAAAAATTTTATCGTTGAAAAGTTTGACCAAATTGTCAAGGAAGGAAGCTTCTGGATATTATGTTTTGTAAGTAGTTGTTTAGGTTAAACTAGAATAATTTTCCTGTGCAGGCTATATACATGTGCTTATATTCCCTTGATTTATAAAATTAATTTAATTTTATTGCTTTGGTTTTTGAATTGATTAAATATTATAATAAATACATAATAGAAGTAAAAATATTTCTTATTATGGTAAATACTTTGTTGAAGAACAAAAGTTCTTATTTATTCTTATTGTTTTTTTTAATTATTCATTTTGTTAAGTTTTATACTTAATACCTATTAAGTTAAGCCATATATATATATATATATATAAGCTATAATATTAAAAAGAATTTGAAATAAGGTATAAATTAAGTCGTTTAATTAAATTGTTTCAAGTATTTTGTATTAATGATGTAACTATATATTTTCTATATAGAGTACCAGAAATTGGTGATGATTTGCCTGAGAAATATCCACTTTTGAAAGAAGAAACGATGCTTCCTGAGTTCAATGAAATAACAATAGAAAAATGTATTGCTGCTATTGCAAAGCAAACATTAGATTTTGAAAAAGGAATCAAACAAATTGATAAAGAATTAGAAGGTTTGAAGACAAATTTTAATAAAATTTAAGATATTAATTGGATGTAAACATAATACATTTGTTTTTAATAAAAAAATATAAAATGTGAATTTAATTTTGTTTTTTAGGATTAAAGAATGTAAATGTTTTTACTGACATATTTAATAAAATTGAAGCATTAGAAGGTCCATTAAAATTAACATGGGGTATTTCAAAGACTTTGTATTATGGACATGAAACATTAATACCAAACAGTTGTTATGCTAGTATTAACAAAAGAGCCCAAGCATCTCTTGTAAACAAGTATTTATCTAAAAATATTTTCAATGCACTAAAACAAGCAGAGAGAGATACGCGTAATTTAACAAACTTACAGCGACAAATGTTAAAAAAGTATATACTGGAATGTGAATTAGCTGGAACAGGGTTAAACGAAAATTTACAAAAGGCTTTATCAAACTACTTAAGATTGATTGATTTGAAAAAAGAAAAATATAATTCAAATGTCCAATTTGCAACATATACATTTAAGCATAAAATCAATGATCCATCGGTAATGCAAGAATTTCCAGTTGATTTTTTAAAGACTGTAGCTATTGATCCCTTAGAATATGAAGTTGGACCTTGGGTTATAACTTTACATCCCAAAATTTTAGAGACATTTTTAGGCAAGTATTTAAAATTATTTAAATATTTTTGATTCTACAAATTATATAAATTTTTTCTTTATATATAGTTTTGAAATTATAATTTTAAATATTTATATTTTGATTATAGCATATTGTCCAAATTCTTTGTTACGGTGGAATGTTTGGCAAGCTAATAATTTAAGATGCTCGGCATTTGGTGATCAAAATGTACAAAATCATAAATTAATATATGACATATTAAATAATAAAAATTTATTAGCACAATCCTTAGGTTTCAAAAATTATATAGAAATGAGTATGCCCACCAAGATGGTTGGTAACATAAAAAATCTGAAAAATTTTTTGGATAGTTCATTAGCAGCAGGTATATAAAAATTTTCTTTAATTTAGTTTAGTTTAGTTCCATCAGTATTAAAATTAAGATGAATGATTAAAATATCATAAATTTTATTGAACATGTAGTTTTTAAATAAAATTGTGTATTTATATTCCTATTTTTTTTTTTTAGCATTTCCTCATCAAGAGAGAGAAATAGCAGAGTTACAGGATTTTGCTTGTAAAGAAGGTTTTAAAGGTAAACTTGAACAGTGGGACATACCTTATTGGATGAGAAAACAAAAACTAGCTTTATATAAGTAAGTTAAATTGTCATATACATTTTTATAAATCATTAACTGTTATCATGTATCATGAGTTCAAGGACTAAATCATTTTCTATAGTCCATTAATATACTGTACATTTAATTACTAATTGAATTCTTGCAATTTCACCTTTTTTTTCTAACAGTATTATGGCTAAATTAAAAAATTTAACAAGTACAAATTAGTTTTATAGTCAGAGATTATAAATTTTATATTATATATAGATTTAAAATAATTACTTTTGGGATATTGGAATTGATTTTAATATTTATATAATATACATGAGCATCATTAATAATTTTAAATGTATTTTAAATTGACACATGTTTTTATAAATTACAGTTATAATGAAGAGACCTTAACCAAATACTTTCCTCTAACAAGAGTGATTATCAATACATTTCGTTTAATAAGAGAGCTTTTTAATGTAGAGATAATTGAACGTCAAAAAGTTCAAGGATGGAATAATAATGTACACTTTTTCGACGTGTTTGATCCTGAAATATCCATGTCTAAGCCTGTGGGCAGTTTTTATTTAGATCCGCTTATTCCAGATGATGAAGATGCATTATATAGAAACATGAATTCAGTATTACTTATAAATAACAGAAGTGATATATGTGGACTGAAACCTCTTTCTTCTCTTATATTAACTTTAAAATATCCTAACAGTCCAGAGGACAATATTTATATGAGTTTTGATGATGTGAGACAATTTATTGCTAATGTAAGTATGATTTTTCATTTTCATCAATAAGACGATGCATTATTAATATAACGAATATTGAAAGAATATATGTAGAATAATGAACTTAAATTAGGTTTCATTAAATTTATTTCTTTATATGTAATAAAAGAATTTAATTAAATTACAAAATATATTGATTTCATTGAAACTGTATTTATTTCTGCCTATATAAAGTTGGCCTCTTGTTCCATGCTTTTAAAAGTATATCTTAGTGCATAAAGATTTTTTTTTAATTTTTAAATAATTTAAATATAAATACGATTTATTATAAGTATATCTCTTTCTCGCTATGTAGATGGGTATTCTATTGCAACAGTTACTAACAAAAGTGGAGCATATAGATTTGGCTGGATTGTCATTTGTTGAATGGGATGCAGTTAATGTAACCAAACATGTAATGGAAAATTGGGCATACGATCCACAATTTCTTAAAAGAATTACTTACAATCCAGAAACTAATGGGCCACTCGATGATGCCACAATACAAAAAATAATTGATTCACGTTACCACATGCCTGGTTATCATTTATGCCAGGAACTCTATTTATCCTCTTTAGATATTGAATTATATTCGAATGAGTAAGTTGTTTTAAATTGAGTATTACGTTGTTGTTTTTACATTTTTAAACTTAATTATAATTAAATTTTTTTTATAGTACAATATTTATTAAGATTAATTATTCTATACAATTTTTAATTTCAGTTTAAAATCTTGGGAAAATATTGTAAATCAAATGTGGCAGAAACATTTTGTTGTACCGCATTTTAAGAAAGACTCTTATGTATGTTCTTGGACTAAGCTATTCATTGAACAGAATGGTTCTTCCTACTATTGGTAAGTTAAAAATATTAGTATTAATTTAATGTATTAAAAAGAAAAAGTTGTAACACTATAAAATATATTAATAGAAAATTTAATATATTTTTATATGCATATAATACAGTATGTATAATAATGATTATTATAAATTAATCAATTAAAAAAAAACCTTCTAAATTTATAGATTTATTGAACGATGTTCTTTTATTTTAAGAGCTAAATTATTTATTAATACAATAGTATTATATGAAAAAGGATATTTTAACTAAGAATTTTTACTAAATAAATTTGATGTAACACATGTGCGCATATATATGACTCTGTGTATATACATTTAAAATTAAAATTTTTTGTACATATATGCCACAAATTTTCTAATTAGTTTAATTTGCAAATATATATTGAAAATACTATTTTTAAATTTTATTACTAAAATTTTTCTAAATAAAAATATACTCCGCACCATTTTTTAATAATAAATGTTTTTAGTGACTTGTGGTCAAAAATGATAGCTGCAGATGTGTATAGTGCTTTTGAAGAATGCAGAGATGACCCAAAGATGGAGCAAATGACCTATAAGCGTTTTAAGGACACATATTTCTCTCTTGGCGGTAGTGTTAGTGCACAAGAAGTATTTCGCCGATTTCGAGGCAGGGATCCGAACTACGATGTCTTTTATAAAAGCATGAAACTCAAATAATATAAATGAAGTTGTAGAAAAAAATAGATCAAATTTAAATACTAACATGCTTAGTTAACACGTTCATTAAAAAAAAACTATTATGTCTATTAGTTTCCATACACTTAAGGTATTCACATAAATATTAATTGAGTTTGATCTTTTTTTATATATATTAAAAATCCCAATGATCACGAATGTTTTTAGTGCAAATATCGTTTACACATTGATACATAAACGAAGTAATAGCTACTAAATATATATCCTAGATATGAACATTTTTGGTACTGTTGCATTTATAATAAAATAATGAAATTATGCATAAAAATAATTTGTAAAAAAATTTGCTAAATAGTGTCAATAAATAAGCTATATGGCATCATTTAATTTACCTAATATTATAATTTGTAAATATACAACAAATGGTAATTTAAAAGTTTTTAAAAAAATATTTCATTACTATTCTTATTATAATTTTTTATTTTATATAAAAGATATTCTGATATGAGAATTATATTTTTTATATTACATCATGAAATATACTTTTGCAATTCTCTATCAGAAAAATATTGTAAAAAGAATTTTTTATTTTTTCATTTTTAATTACTGTTTACAAAATATTTTATTTTACCTCTTAACCCAAGGATTGAGCTATTTTTTAACAAAATTATTTTATAAAATTCAATTAAAACAATAATATACATTATGTTTTTTGCTAAATAGATAAATGATTATTTTATATATGATTTTTTGTCCACTACCATACTATGGTTGATTTTAATATCGAGACAAAGATATATATAATTTTTTAACAATAATATTTATATTTACAAAATGTGTCTCTCGAAAGCTATCATCACAGATAAACACAGTACATTATAAAATGTATAAAAAGTCATAAATGTACTGTAAATATGGTGAACATTTCTATATATATATATATATATATATATATATATATATATAAATTGATATTATAATTATCACACCAAAGCACAGACAATAATACTAATAAATAATAAAATAATAATCAGCCAATAACCCCATACTTTATCTTTTTGTCCAATTACTCTAACAGTGTGGGTTTCGTTAATGAGATGTTGATCCATTTTATCCATATGATCTGCTAAATCTTCTATTATTTCTATAAAAAATATAATGCAAAATAAATCAATCTTAGAATTTATTGTATTTTTTAACAACAATTAAGCATGGTAAGAAAAAAATGTATTTACCATTATGATTATCTACTTCATTATGTATAGTCCGAGCAATTTGTTTTTGTCTGGAAATTATTTTTGATAATTGTTCCAGGCCTTCTTCTTGTTCTAAAAATTTTCGTTAGTTATAAAGAGTTTTAACTATAATGCTTTTATTTTAATTTTAAGTTCTTAAGTTCTTAGTTAAACAATCTTAAACTGAAAATTAGTATATTTAATTAACTGAATTGTAATTAGTAATTCAATATTTACAAATTAATAGGATTAAATAAAAATTAAAATATATTAAAATACAGTTATTTATTGTAAAATATATAACAATTAATTTTGTCGATAATTATACGTATAATCATTATTTTAAAATTAATAATATCAAGACTTACGTTCAAGTAGTTGCTGATTTTGATGCTCAAGGTCAGCTACATTTACATTGCCAGTATTTGGTTGATCAACTTCATCATCGTCTATACCCCAACTTGTAGAACCTCCATCAGCAAAAACAGAGGAAGATGTTAGTTCCAAGAGCTGTGATCGCCACAATGCCATTTCTTTTGTTTTTGATTCATATAATTGCTGAAGTTGAATATCCTTACTTTGCAGCTGCTCTATTTGTCTTGTCCGACGTTCAGCTTCCTCGGCTGTTCTATATATTTTTAATACTTAAGGAAAACAAAAGATCGAGAGTGATAACTCAATTGAATTAATATTGTCATACGTCCTATTATTTTATAAGATTAGCTAAATTTTACAATCTTTTAGGCTGCTGTCTTTAATTATTTTTCACTTCACTTTAACATTGTTTCATTATAAAATATAATAATTTGTTTATTTATTTCAGTAGATTTTTAATTTTAATGATTATAACCATTGATCATTTTAAAGTATTATACTATAAAAGTCTTATGAAATGCTTAATTATAGATATTTTCGTAATGAAAATGTCTATGAAAATTTTTTTTTTTTGATTAACAAAGTGATTTATATATTATATATAAAAAATATATAAAAGTTAGAATTGCAAGGATACATGGTATGTTGTCTGTTAGCTTCAATAACTTTGCTTTTCAGTTCTTGCACTTGATTATTATACTGCTTTAATCTCATTCGTATATTTGCAGAAAGGTTGGCAAAGGTCTGAGATGTTTTTGGTTCTTGATCTCTTAGCGTTAGTAGTTCCATTATCTCTCTGAATAAATTATCACAAGTCTCATATTCGATAAGCCTATAGGGTGTTATGTACATATAAATATAATCAACGAATGTTTTAATAAATAAACAAAATTTATTTTTCACATTACCATGGATCACTGCCATCGATATAAATAAGTGCCATATTCGCTTCGCTTCAAAAACTATTGATAACGAGCATTCACTCAGATAAGGTATTGTTTATGAAAGAGCTTTGGATCTTTGGAATAGTATCCAAAGAAAGTACTATTGATACTTTTTGAATTACCATTTACATTTTACGATTGATAATAAAATAAGATATGTGGTATCTAATACTTTAATAGATAGAGAAATTAAATTTGTGTCTTCACTGTTTCTCTTACAAGTGTTTTCTATGCGCTTATAATGCGTATATAAAATATTTTTAAAGCGTACTTATTTTATCATTGAGAAGTATACGTTGAATTATTCTATGTTATAAAACTAAGAAAGGAGGTAAACAATCTTCCCAAGTGAAACGAATTATATAGATGTATTTCATCTGCTAAGTATTATTTCTACTTAAATAAAAAAGCAAGTACACCAAGTATCAATATGTACATATAAATATAAATTTCTATATATATATATATATATATAAATATGCATATGTTGAGCGAGTGTGTTTATGACTTATTTATAAAATACATAGCAGACGCATTAGTTTGGCAGTACTGTTAATTCTATAATGCTAATGATGACAGAGATGGCGGAATATCTAATGAAATTGGAATTTCGCGCGTAAAAATTAAAAGGTATTTTTAATTCATACGTCTTAAATTGTTCACTTTATGCATAAACATACTAGTATATTACATTTTTCCATTAATATCCATTAAATTAATGCAAATATAAATTATATCTCTATAATAATCTTTATAAGTAATACGTTTAAAGTTTCGAGTGGTTTATTATTGGCATTTCAATGTTTAAATTGACATCCAATGGATTCGCATATAAGTGATCGACGCGAACGATGTTTTATTTTTTAAAAGGAATATTTTAAAAATTTTGCTCGAAACGCATAATATATTTGTCGGTGTATCGAATTTGTAGCGATATCGAGGGTAAGTTTTAAGAGACATTGAAAAAGGCTACTCTCTTAATTATCCGATAAATTAATTTATTAGTTCAATATGAGCTATGTAATAAATTTAATTTGTTTTTCAATATTTCAAGTACTGTCTATTATGTCGGATTTAAATAGTCTGTTTTTTAAAGATAAATCTAATTAAATGCTTGAAAAATAGCCAATATGCGAATGTTACCGTCATTATCTGTAATATGACCGTCTATGACTGAAATTATCTCCTCGTTAAGTGCGCACGCGCTCGGCACACATAATCTTAACTTTACGGACTCCACTAAATATAGAGCTAATCAGGATAGGAAATGAGAATGGCCGGCGGATAGGCGGAGAGGGGGTAGGCAAAAAATATAGACTGGAATCAAGTATGGGAGAGCCACGAGGGAGGGAGGGAGAGAGAGAGAGAGAGAGAGAGAGAGAGAGAGAATCGCATTCGTTTTCCGTTCAGTTGAGTCGTACGCGAGAGACAAGGAGGAACGTCAACATTTACGTCAAAACCTGGTTTTCTCATACAATAGTACAATACAGTTTTACGACGATTTATGTTTCCCACGTCAGTACGACGAGTCGAGTGAGTAGTGACGTGAAGCATAAAGAGAAGGATTTGAGTCGCATGTGTGCGACATTTGTGAATCGTGTGAGGTGCGAATAAAGAGTAGAAGAGCGCGTCCTTTTAATTCGTTATCGTCTGCACGGTGAGTGTCCCGTTCAAGAGACGCGGATGTCTGCGATGTTGCGTAAAATACCGCCTTCGTCGCGGAACGTCGGATGAAAGAGAACTAACGGGCCTGAGGCTGAAGATCGCCAAAAGTAGTGCTTTCCTCAACGAAGAAGGCGCCTTACCTCCAGGAAACCGAACGTGGAAGATTTTAGGCACGTAAAACGACCTTCGGGCATTTCCAATAGTCGACGACAGGTGAGCCTTGTTTTTTTTTTACCCTCTTTTTCCCTTTCGTAATTTACATAGCCGCGGACTCTTCCGTCCCTTTCATTTGTCTCTCGAGACGTTGGCCGCTAGAGAGGAAAAAAAAGAAGGAATTTTCGTGACTCGGTCGACGAAGATCGAGTGAAAACGGCGTAAGAGTGCGAGCGAGACGAGATACGAGATACGGTGTAAAAAGAGAGTGGATTCCGTAACGTTTTGTGCCTTTTACATTTACGCGTGCGGCATGAATCTCTCGAGGAGCATCGTTCGTTTTATTTATCTCGTGTACTTGATATGAAATGTTACGATTCACGCGTAAATAGCGACCGAGGTTATCTCTAAGGATGTACTACTGTGCAATGAATGGTCGATGGTCATTTCTTTGCACGCGCGACACCGTGTGTGTACATGCATATTGATTATCGTGACTGCATGCTTCTTTATTATTATTATTATTATTATTATTATTATTTTTTTCATATATATATATATATATATATTTTTTTTTTTTTATATATATACTTTATAAGACTGCTGCTTAATCGCGTGGAGCAGCAGTTCGTTATGTTTGTGTGTGAAAGCGATATTTAAATTTTAACGATTTTCTCATATTTTGGAGTCTTGAAGGGTGCCAAATTTCTCGAATATTTATTCTTCGAAGTTATTTTCTCAGTGACAGCTGTTTAATTATAGTTATAAGAGTTTTTAATGATACTTGAGTTTTGTTGATTTCACAATAATGTTTTGTATTTGATGACTGAAACTCACTGGAGATTAGCTGTCAGTTATATGTACTGATTAATTAATGAATATAAGTAGCAAGAATTTTTCCGTGTAATTTATTTACAGTTGCAAATTAAGTAAAATTTTAACAATGTATCATTGTTTGATTTTATTATCCATAATGTCTTTATTTTTCCATATCTAACGATTTTATTTAAATCAATGAAACTACAACGGGATAATTAGAAGATTTAACAAATTATTTTTCTAATAAATCGAATTATTATAAATTATTATTTTTTAGAAATTCAGTGTCGGAACTGTTTTCTAAGTAATACTAGCTTGGAAGGTTTATTTCAATAAATTTTCTAAAAACTATGCTATATTTTACTATAACTGTATAATGTACTGATACATTGTCTTTCAAAATACCTTGTTATCTTAAGTTAAGACTTATTCTTCTTATTCAAAATTATCGTCTATTTGACTAATTTTTGTTATTCTTTCGGTTTTTATATTTTATTATTTATATTTTTATTATTCGAGTCTGTAAATTTAAGGAATATCTATTTATGTGTTTATCTATTTTGTATTGTAATTTTTTATAATAAATTCAAAACATCCTATTAATTTCTTCGACTAGTGATCTAATTAATTAAGTTGACAAATATGTTATTAATAAAATTTATCTTTTTAATTATTCTAATTATTATATTTTCAATTTTTTATGGAGATTTGTTTATTTTAATATGATTATATTAACATTTTTCAATTTATTACTATTATTATTATTATTATTATTATTATTATTATTATTATTATTATTATTATATTAAATTTTATTATCAAGATTTATGAATTCTCGATTTTTATTTATTATGTTATAATTAATGAATTAAACAAATGAAAAATTAAATTAAATTACACATTCCACATTTTTATAGGCTTTATTTATATTTTATATTTATCATATTTAGTATTATAATTTTAAGTATATTTTTTATTCTTTTATCGTTCATTTCATAATCGTATTAATTATATATTGTTGTTAAAAAAAATTTATTTATTTATAACGGCCATATCATAAATTTATAAAAATTATTTTTGGCTTATTATAAGTTTGTATTTATTAGAAAGTATAAAATGCTTTTTTTACTTAAGACCATGTTTTATAAACAATTACGAAGTAAAATAAATGTAGCTTACTTTCATAAATATTATCATTCATGTATTATCTGAATTACGGTACTTTTATTTTATGTTGTTCTTGCTTGATTATGTTGGTATTTCATTAATTTTATTGTTTGATAACAGATAAAATTCTTTAATTTATAGCTTGAGAAGAAATGACTAGTGAAGTACCAGTGGATCCTGCATCTGTTTCTTCATTAATTAATATCACTACAATGGGAAATATACCACATGTCATTGTCGATGATTCTAAGGAAGAAGTGACACCTATATTTCTCCAAACGCAAGCAGCAAAAGGTATGCTTGGCTATTTTATGATAAATTATACATTTCTTAAAATGCATGTAATTAAATGAGCCATTGAATTGTAAGGAATGACGAAATTATAATAAATTTCTAATTGTTTACTGATAAGTAATAGGTTAAATTAAAATAACATTGTGGTAATTACATTATTAATTTCTGAAGAAATTTCTGAATTTCTAAAAATGAATTTTATTATGACAGGTATTGCAGGTGCCTTTGTATGGGTTGCTCTATTTATTAGCTGTCAACAGATTTATCAACACTTAAGGTGGTACACAAATACTGCCGAGCAACGATGGATAGTAAGGATACTGTTTATAGTGCCCATATATGCAACATATTCTTGGATATCTCTTTTATTCTTTAATAATGAGAGCTACTATGTGTATTTCTTTACGGTGCGTGACTGTTATGAAGCATTTGTCATTTATAATTTTTTATCATTGTGCTATGAATATCTGGGCGGTGAAGGTAATATCATGTCAGAAATAAGAGGGAAGCCCATACGTTCAAGCTGCATTTATGGAACTTATTGTTTGGCTGGAAAGACCTACACCATCGGCTTCTTAAGATTCTGCAAGCAAGCCACATTGCAATTTTGTTTGGTTAAACCATTGATGGCATTTGTCATTATATTTTTGCAAGCCTTTGGACACTATAGAGATGGCGATTGGTCTCCTGATGGTGGATACGTTTATATAACGTGCATTTACAACATCAGCGTCACTTTGGCGCTATATGGACTGTTTTTATTTTACTTTGCTACAAAAGATCTTCTTACTCCATTTGATCCAGTTCTCAAGTTCTGTACCGTTAAGAGTGTTATTTTCCTGTCCTTTTGGCAAGGTATGAATAGATTAATATTTTTAGCTTATATATTTAAAGCATTACTACAAATAATTAACGATAAAGATTATATATAAATGATTATTTTTTATATTAGATTACCCATAAGTGAATAAAATTAAAGATAATGAAAATAATATCAACTACTATCTATGATGTTCATTTGACTGATTTACTAATAAAATAATTAATAAACACATTTTGGTGTTTATATATATCCGATAAATTTATAGGATTTATTTCTAAATATACTGTTTTTTAAATCATATATTAAAATTATTTATCATAAAAAACGAACTTGAAAGAAATTTAATTAATTTTATTAAATTTCATTCATTACAAATTTGAAATATAAATATCTAATTTTGATAAATAATTTAAATATTTATTAAATTAGTTATAATGTGGTTTGTAGTTTAAGCATACACAATTTTAATATATATATATATATATATATATATATATATATACACATATATATATTTTTTTTTTTTTTGTTAAATAATACTCATTTAAAATACGCTTTAAGAAAGTAATAATTATAAAAAATTGGAATTGAAGTTATAAAAAAGTTATAATTTTATAAATTTGAAAATTTACAAAAAAGCATTATATGAAGGAAATTTGTATTCCTTCTTTGCTTGATGGAAATAATCTCTAAAATACTTTTGACGTTTATTTTTAAGTTATCTTAGTCGGTTGATTTTCAGGCTATTGAATTATACTTTAACGCTCATGCAGAATTAAAATTATATAGCGAGAAATACTGTTGTTAAAATATTCCTGTACAGTGTTCAAATAATTTTGTGTTTGTTTTTGCTAAGTACTATATTTCATACAAGAATACAATAAATGAAGAATATAATTTTATAAATTTTTTTTTCGATTGCATTTTAAACCTTTTCATCTTTAAATGAAAATTATGTATTATTAGTTTAAATTTATATATGTGTATATATACACATACATATTGGACATTGCGGACACATACCTGAGGGGTATGAAGATGGGAGGGGGAAGCTCTAATATAGACATATTTAAAGAATATAAACATATGCAATTCAGCGTGTAGCGTGTACTTTTTATTTGTTGTTTTTGTAAACAGTGTGTTAAAATCAAGAGATTTAAAATTATTTATCTACTAAATAATAACAAGCAACAATAATCTTACTATCAATAATAATGTAATGGTTATGAAATTACTGTAAAACGCTGTAGACTTTAAGATAATACGGCTAAAGATATAAAAAGCATTAACGCACGCTTTCGCATCCGAATCTAATGAATCGACCGTTGGGACGTTCTCAGGTGTTTTACTAGCTGTTCTGGAGAAGGCGAACGTGATCTCACCGGTGATTAATAGCCGGGGCCAGTCGACGAGTGCGGGCACAGTGTCCGCCGGCTATCAAAACTTCCTGATCTGCATCGAGATGCTGTTCGCTGCAATAGCATTGCGTTACGCCTTTCCTTATCAAGTTTATTCGGCTGGCTGTACGACAGATTCTCGGGGCCGAAGTGTCACCATGCAGAGCATCAGTAGCAGTCTTAAGGTAATGAATTCAGGAATAAGTAGCGACGGCTGCTTTGGGGTTTGGATTTTTTTCGCTTTCCCCAACGCTCTCTCTCTCTCTCTCTCTCTCTACACTCCGAAGTATGGATTATGCTTTCATAATTCAGACACTCGACAACTTCATTTATTTACAATTAAAATTTAATGTTTATAATTATGTAGATCATTTTTCATCATTTGCCTTTACGTTACTTAGTTGTTATTTTCGTTCTTTCTTTACTTTCGATGAGTTAAAAATGATTTTAAGTACCATCCTCAAATTTCGTCTCATGTTTGTTGTACCGTATTCTTGTAAATTTTTATTGCAAAATAAATTTAACATCAACAATATTAGTTGTAAGTTAGCTGTTTCTCTTATAAATTATAATTTTAACGATCACAGTTGCACTACTTTTGAATAAATATTTATATTTATGTAGATTTATAATCACATTATATATTGTTATAAAAATTTAATTTTCCAAAAGTTAATCTTCAATTCCTATTAATACTAAATTTTGTTACAGTCAGATTCTTTGTAGCGAAATTTTCTATATATTTACTTCGATTAATAACAAACATTGAATTATGAGTAGCTTAATTGATTAAAAAACTGTTAATAGTGTAAATAAATTCTCATTAATGTCAATGTGTTCTATATATTTCTATATTTATTTACTTTAGCTTTAGTGCTTAGCGATTGCTATTGATTTTTTTTTAGGAAACTATGAATCCTAAAGATATTATGACCGACGCTATTCACAATTTTCACCCACAATACCAACAGTATACACAGTACAGTTCTGGTAAGTGTTCTTATTTATTTTGTTCTACTGTTTTCCAATTTAATATTAAAGTTCAGAATAACATTCAATAGCATTCAAGAACAATAGATTTGTTTAGAAAGTTTTTTTAAAATCTGTAAGTGAAATTGAAAATCTCGATAATTAATAATTAAGTAGAATCTTCTCATTTCATGTGATGAAACAAGTATTGAAATCATTAAGTTAAATAAATTGAATCACCTTTTTAAAGATTAATAATATTGACAGATGTATTGTTAAAATTCATGTATTTTACAGATTTTTATGTATTTTAAGTGCATGTGCTGTAGTATACGTTTAATTGCATTACTTTGACGATCATAGAAATAGTTTTTTTTTTAGAAATAATTTTCCAAAATGTTATAAATATTTTATGATATATAATTAAAAATATTAATTTACGAGGTATAAAGAATATTATGTTATTTTGAAAATTTTTTCAATAATTTTTACCTTGTATGATCGTAAAAGTAATTTTTTTTGTTATATATTTATTGCTTGATTTTATAAGAGTATTTACAAGCGTTAGTATGTTCCTTTTTTTATGCTGAATATGATTGAGCGCGTTTATTTTTAATGTAATATATGCAATAAGTTGTATAAAAATATGCATTAATATTGTAGAAAATATTTTTTATTTCCATTAACTTTTAATTTCTTTATTGTGGTACATTAATTTTTTGCTCGACTTTAAATAGCTTTTTTGTACTGTAAATATATGTATAATACTCACTTAATTTAACTTATTCACGCCTTTGGTAATTTTGCATGCAGTCATTTATTATTTCCTAATCGAAGATGATAATTTTATTAATGACTCACATACTAAAACACAATTATATTGAATATTGCACCAATGACAATCGAAATTGTAATTCCGAAATTTAAGATGTTCGTGCCCTTGAAAAAAATGTACACATTTTCATTTGTTAAATCATAAAGATTAAGACATTCTATTATTTTATTTATTTTTGGCGTAATGGATTGTCAGCTAAAAAAATATTTTCCTTTTAAAAATTATAAAAACGGAAAACATTTTCATATATAATTAGTTGATTAAACTTAATAATAATTTTACTGCTAAACATGCATCCTTATAATAAACGATACAAACATTAATTAAAGTGTAATAATTCATACTCTTAGTTCTTACTCATGATTAATAATTTATTAATTTTATTCAAATGTTCGGCTTCTAAAAAATTCGTACTTATTGTATTAGTTGAATTTTAATTGCCTTAAATTTTAATTAAATTGAAATATTACGGTTAAAAACTAATTAAATTTACATTTAATATTTGAAAACTAAACCTTGTCGGAAAAAAAAATATATATATATATATAATACAAATGGATTATTAAAAAGTAATTAATTATAGATATTACGTTCTCTACATTTATACAGTTATTAATTAATATTGAATTACATTGTGAAATTTCATTAACGCAATTATATGATATTTGAAAAGCATTTAATACTATGTTTATGTTTTTTTATATTTAAATTTTAATTTATTTAATTTATATTTATATTTATATTCATCGCGATATATAATGGCCTATTCAATTCTGAATTTATTTCTTATTTTGTAATTAGATTATTTATTAAAATATTATAATTTGTAAAACCAAAAACTAAACATGAAATGGTATTAATTTGTATATTTTGATCAATTCCATTACATGATAGAAAAAATTGGAAAAAATATAAATTAAAAAATTATCCGTGCTATTAACAAAATTGAACTTATCCGTATTTTTTAAGTCAAGCATTAGTTTAATTAAGAACTTCTAGTCATTAATATAGTTATTATGTTTAAAGTACTGTTTCACTATACACATATAATTTTGAACGTTAACAAGCTTACGTAATATTAAAAAATCTTACAAGTTGTATAAGCTTTATATATAATATTAAAAGTTATATAATACATATTTACACGAACAAAAAAAAAAAACATCATGTATAGTTTAAAGGAGGAGGGGAAGGCTAAAATTTTAGTAAATTTATATAGTAAAATAAAACTAATATATTAATATAATTCGATTAAAATAATTGATGATTCATTAAATTTGCTTTATATTTCATATGGTTAGAATTTTTAATCCTTTACGTCAAAAATAAACGTTTATGTATAATCACAATAATATTAAAGAATTGAATTTAAAACTTACAATAAGCGCTAAGAAGAGAAAATATAAAGATTTTTAAATGGAAATAAAAAGAAAAGGAAAATCGAAAAGGGTGGCTGTTGTGAAGGTGCATATTTTTGGTATTTTTTCAGACGTCAATACCAACTTGCCGTACGAAAAGCTGTGAGTGTACACTCGAGGGCGTTTTTGAATATATTTTTCTTTCAACGCACGTCGGACCTCTTTGGACGTTGTCAAGGAGCATTAAAAGAACAAACTAACTCAGAGATTTACAAATGAAAAAAGACACTAAATGAGAGACTTTTTGCAGTTCAATTGGGCACGACGTCAACGACGAAACGTTTTGATATTACACGCGCGCGCGCGCGCCCGCGCACGTACATATATTTTAGCGTATTTTCGAAATTATACTTTACAGACAAATTTATATATATATATATATATATATATATATATATATGTGCGTGCGTGCGTGTGTGTGTGCGTGTGCGTGTGCGTGTGCGTGTGCGTGCGTGCGTATGCGTGTGGGTGTGTATAAATGAATTGTTCGCGCAGCGACAAGTCGAAATGAGATTTTTTTCCTAAGGAAATTCACTTTCTTAAATGCAGGGTACAATTTTCAATTTATGTTTTTGGAATCGGTCACGATTTACTTAATAAAATATTGAAGTTATAAAGTATCAAATAAGACATGCATTTTAAGAGAATGCATAACAAGAATTATTTAAGAGTAAAATTTTTTGTTGTAAGAAACGTTTTTCTACGTTCATATACGTATAATAAATATTGAATGTGTAGTTAATTCCTTTTTATCTTGTTATTGTGTATAGCTTAAAAACATATGTCTATTATTTAATTATAAATTAAATAATCCTTTTTTATGTTACATGTCAAATTAATTCTAAGTAATTCAATAATAATCTGTAGTTGTAGTTGTAATATACGAATTAATAATAATACAAATTAAAAATAACGTTTGTATTAAAATTATCTTAAAACAAAAAGGAGTATTATTAAATTTTTAATATTTGATTAATTTATACTGTGAATTTTTCCCTAACGAGCCTTATTAGCGTGTATAATAATAGTTCTAAGTACATAATACTATTTACGTACTTAATTGATAAAATAGAATAAATCAAATAAACAAAATCATTCAAACTTAAAACAAGTGAAAAGGCACTAAGTATTGTGTGTACATTGTATGAAGCTTTCTAATACACGCAGTGTCGAAAATAAAAAAAAATATTTAAAAACGAGATCAAAGCTTTCATTAATAATTCCAAATTATCCAAAAATATTAATTAAAACGTGCTCACTGAATAACTAATTATCAATTATTTAATTAGTTTTATTAATAAGTAATATTTCTTTAATTATTAATTATTAACTTATTAGCATGCAGTGTATTTACTTAAAAGTCATCGAATGCAATGAACAATAAAATAAAATTGTTCAGGTTAATGTTCCCTGCACGATACATTTCCAGCTTAAATTTGTAACATGTCCCTCTATTCTGCTATTATTTGCGGGTAAAATTATTTAAATTATTTATTTGGATAATTGTGATTGAAATATGCACCAAATAACTGATTAAATAGTTCTCAATAATTCTTTTTATCAAAATATTTTCTTTTTCTTTTTTAATCTTTCTTAATAAAATCTTTTTTAATAAAAATACTTTATTATATATGTATATATAAAAGGGATACATTTTTCTAAAATAAAATTTACAATAATATTGTATTGCAAAATTATATATTGCAAAATTTATAAGATTTTTGTTAATAAATGTTTTGACATATAAGATTTTAGTAGTGAGTAGTTTAGTAGTGAAAATGTAACGTTCATGTATAAATTATTTTAATATCTTAATATTGTTTTTATTTAAAATAATAAATTATTTAAAGAGTGCCTTTTATTAGTACCTCTTAAAAAACCATTGTTTATATGAAGGTAAAAAGTAATGAACTGTCGAAAGATAATCAATCGAGATTTAATTTATTAAAATATTTTTTAAATTACGGTTAACTCCTAGAAAACGGTAAATTTAGTTTAATTATAAAAACTTATAATATTTTAGCAGTTTTAGTCAAAATTATTTTAAATATTTTATAAAAATTCTATAAACGATTCTTACAGATTATGTGAGTAAATATTTTCGTATTATATCAGTACTTATTTAAGCATTTCAATCAAATTATCTTTTACGATAAAATATACGTCTTTAATTAAAAATATTAAAACGGAAGCATTTTTTTCCGCATTTGCATGAAGCATTTGAATATTCAGAGGCATTATGCAGAATGGAATGTGTTTGTAATGAAACGCAATTCATAATCATTAATTTTTCTATATTTTAGAATCATAAGCCACATTATTTGTAAATATACATTTGTATATTCATCTTCATTGTTTTTTGTTTTTGTTTTTTTTTTTTTTTTTGTTTTTTTAAATATGTATGAAGAGAAAAAGTACGGAAGCAGTGCTTTGTGAAGTCGTGTATGAGATAGCGATATTAAAGGGTTTTATGATGATATATTTGACGACACGCAACATATTTTAGCCCATTTATTTTGAATGTTAGAATTAAGTATTTTATAATACATTTTGGTATTGAATTGAAAAGTATTTAATATCATATATTGTGTAATGTATTTAGCAAAGTATTTACAAGTATTATATAAAGTATATAATAATATAATTTTATTACGAAATAGCCGTGCCTTAATATTGTGAACGTGTATTTTTGTTAATTTAAGGCGTTTTATCCTGTCGTTGTAATAATAAGTATAATTTAATTAGAAATAAATTATGTTATATATTCTTGATGAATGGGTTAATTTAACGGAGTTATTGTATTGGAAGTTGACACTAAAAATATCACTAATATTGCACGTTATATGAAAATTATAATGTAGGTATAGTAGTGTTAAATATTTTTGCTTTGACGTATTTTAATTGTTTAATAATAGCGAATAATATAATTTTCATAATTAATGAAATATATGTCAAAGCACTACTTCTGATTTGTCATTGTATACGTAGAGTATTATTTATTGTCGGTATGGCCTATGTCACATATGTTACGAAAGGTGATTGACAGTGAAATAGTATAAAGACAAGACAATAAATAATATACCAAGATTATGCATGCTTATAAATTAAAAAAAAAAAAAAAAAAGGAAAAAGAAAAAAAGAGCCAGATTAATAAAAGAATAAAAGAATTAAATAAAAAAATAATAATTGAATTTACTTTGAAATAATTGTTTGATTTTTAATTTGTAGATTTGATCGTTTATTTTCAAATTTTATTCAAATTGACATTGCATAAAATTTTTTAAAGTACATATTCGACATTTGAATTGATACGATTTAAAGAGAAAATTGAGATAAAAATCTATGTTAGAAGTTAATTTTACAAATTAACAGTTCGACTAATTAGTTATAAAAAGCGAACGATATCAATAATCATGATAGATTTATGTTTAAGACAAGTGTCATAGTGACTGATCGATAAATCGAATTCCATTTCATCAAACACAATAAAATAACATGGTTTTGCGTATGAGGTCGAATAACTAATAATAGATTCATAATTTTTAAGTGATGATAAGGATTGTTTGACAATAAGTATTAAGATGTCTGCTAAAAGTCGCGTATCAATAATGCAAACATCATAAGTGGAATAATACAGACAGAATGATTTTATGTCCTTACACTGCACTCTCTTATCGAGTAAATGGAAAAAAAAATATATTAACAAACACTCATAAAAGGAGCCAAATCAACTCTGTATCTCGTAAAAATCTCCTCTGTAGGAGGCGGTGCTAAAAGCCAACGAGGCATGCGGGTCTCCAGTTTCGATCCGGACGATCCGCAAAATATGCCAGTGCCACCGCCGCAGCGTCGCAACGTGTCACATCAGCGCGTCGCTACCATATCCCAGAACTACAACGAGAAGACGATGTTATTGAGCAGCGACGACGAGTTCCAGTAGACGCAGTCGACGTGTTAACGGAAACCTTTAATGAGCATTGCGTGAAGGTAGAGTAGTTTGTTTGACGAGCCTTTAAAAACGAGCACGCGACGCGTGTACAAGAGAACTCCTGTCCAAGGAGACGATTTTGTTTTTTAGCATTGAGGCTTTGTAATTGCACTGGTGAATAAGAATAATATTTTGAATGTTTATGATATATAAATTTTGTATTTTTATTTGAAATTTTTGCAGGTTACGTATGTCATCGTTATATACGATTGATGTATCGATGAGAAATTCACTGCACGAGAAATTGCCTTAAATTGCCTTTTAGTACAAAACTACAATATTGTGTAAAATTTCAATTAAATCGATTAGAGTTTTCTATAACATAATTATTTTTAAATTATAATATTTGTTTTGAAAGATAAAGAGAAAAAAAACTAATGGTCAATTTTTTTTTGCCGTAAATATGCTCAAATCGGTATTTAATTAAGGCTATAAAATAGTGAATTTTGCGACTAATGTAATCGCTTTTTTTATCAAGACAATTCTAAATCTATACAGTTATAATATTTTTTTTTAATTTTATGATTAAACGATTGATTGATTATACATATGCTTTGAGAAAATTTTATATAATTTTATAAGTCTTTTGTTACTGTATATACAATTTTCCTAAATAATATAATAAAATAATTTACTATAATTATAGTAATAGTGTAAATTATATTTTATTATTTTATTTTATTATATATATATATATATATATATATGTCTATATATCAAAACAATAACTATCTAAATTTCAATCATTACTTAAAATAGTTTATCATAGTTCGTGCATTTTATTAATATTTATTAAAATATTATTATTCACTAGTGCAATTATAGCCTAAGGTTTATTAAAATAAAATATTGTTCTGTTTATTAAATTTTATTAGATACTTCACTTTCAATAAGTGTAAGAGCTTTATTAACCAAAAAATAACGTATATGGATAAATATATGGACAAAGTTTGACATCCTTTTATCTATTCTTATATATAGTTTTCATTTAAATGCAAAGTAATGTTTATGTATTTATTATTAGTTTAATATCGCTTATATTTTGTATAAGAATATTTTTTTTTTATAATATATAAGCAACTTTTTTCTTATAAATTTAAAGAAAAATAATTCGTTATAATTGCAACTGTATCACTTTTGCATATTTTATTCGTATTAGTGTTTGCTTTAATGATCAGCGAGAGAATTTATTATACATTAAAGTAACTGAAATATAATATTAAACAGTTTTTTATTGACAATTGTGTAATATGATTTTAAAAAATTGCATTACTAATGAGAAAATAAATTACTTTTTATAGTTGTTCATTTATTAAAATAAATTATAAATATTTTAATATTAAATTAAACAATAATTTAACGGTTACAATTTTAAATCTGATGAATAGTATATTACTTTCAATTAAGAATTTGACATTTGAATTTAAGTTATGCAGAGATTTGTTAGTACATATGAAATAAATCCTACATTTTTGTATTTTTTTTATATCTATATAATTTTTAAGGCTTTATATTAAATACTTCACTGCTCTATAAATTTCATATTATTTATACGTCAAATAATTTAATAGAAATAATAAAAAGTTAGTCTGTACTATATTTTATGTTAATTTAAAATTCTATAAAATAGGCGTCAACATTTTTTGAATTCGAGACGCCTATGTTAAGATAAAATTGTTCTCTTCCTTTCACCAATTTAGTACTTTTCAGCAACAAGCAAGTCACCTAAAGATATTAAAACAATTTTATTTATATAAGTCGTGTACTAAGAAAACATGAAATAAGTTGAAGTCCGGAAAAGATAATTTAAGTAAAATTCTTTGTAAAATTATTATGATATAAAATTTTTGAAAATTCGCACTTTTGTTATAGTCATAAATAGTTTTTTTTATGTTATTTATAAAAAATGTAAATATATTAGGATTGATTTTCAATCGACAAGTTAAGTTATTTATATAAAGAAATATAATTTAATTTCTTAATAATAATATTTTGTTTAAATAATTTTTTATTAATATCTAAAAAATTTTATGATATATTTTAAATATATTATTTAGCATAAAATATATTTTCTTGCACAAAGTAAACATTTTTTATTGAATAACATTTTTTAAATATATATATATATGTCGACGATTTGATTTATTAATTTTTAAACATTATATTAATGTAATATTGCACGTTATAATTATTATAATTGTATATTTTGTATATTGAAAGCAAAAGAACTTTATTCGCCTGACCTTTTCAATATTTAAGTTTAGAAACAGTTTTATGAATAAGAAAAAAAATCTTTGAAAATAATCTTTAAAAATTGAAAAGAAATATGGCAAAACTGGATTAAAAATGAACCAGTAAGTAAAATTCGATTGGCGGTGAAAAAGAGATATGAAATTAAAAAACAAATTTCGTAAATCTCAGATCTTATTTCGATATTGTCCATTTCTCACATCTATGTAGACACACATTAAAACAGCTCCACAATGTTATTACAATTTCATGTTAAATAATCGACGTTAAGTTAATAATGAGATATACATACAAGAAAATAAGAAAAATAGTTAATAGAAAAATATTTATTTTAATATGCTCTCATCATGTTCGTTGCTCGTTCTAGATGCGACGCTATCGATGATAAATAAAATTTTTAGCTTAAATACTCTCTCTTCTTACAAAAACAATCAAGTATAAAGATGAGTAACCGTATATGTGCGTGCGTGTGTGTGTGTGTGTGTGTGTGTGTGTGTGCGTTGGCGTTTATGCGAGCGCGCGTGTTACATAAAAAAGTTAAAGTATAGGTTTATGCTCGCTATTAATGTTTAAAATCCATCTGGAGAAGTTTGCTCTAATTTTAAAACCATAATTTTATTTTGAAAATTATTTTCAACTCAATGGATTGAAATTTTTAATTAATTACAGCGCATCCATTTTCATAATTACACTACAATTTTAATGCCTTTTTTAATAAAAATATGTGATATATAAAGTTTATTCTCGATTATTTTTTCATTAGCTTTTAATTTGAAAAATTGCACTGTTTTCGACTTGTACTTAACATAGAATAATAATGAACTTTGTTAAAAATGTTGAAAATAGAATTGATTAAAATTTTCACTTTTAAATAAAACATCTTCATTCTATATGCGTATAAATTATTATGGTTTTAAATTACGGTCTCTTCTTAATTGTGAGTTAATCGTATAAATTATTGCGAGTTTCTCCGAACATATAAGGATAACACTATGTAACGTCATTAAGTTTTGTTCATGACGAATAATATAAATATTTTACCGTTTTGTTGTTATTGCACTTTTTATCAGGATAAATTTTTATGCTCCATGAGAAGGCTAATCATTATTTAGAAATAAATATGCAATGCAAATATAAGGCTTTCTTGTAATTAGCAATACATAATGTAAGCTGATGTAGTTACCGAGTATAAGAAAATAACAACGATCGTAAAATATTATATTGCCATAGTATGAGAAATTAATTGTTTATTACGCATTTGCCATATTATTAATTATGAATATTACATATTAATTATTCGGGGTAATGAAATTATATTTGAGCCATAACTCACAGAAACTTAAACGATCATAATATTTAATTCTAAATAAAATGAATAAATATAGCGATTAATTATTCTCATCGCTGTAACGTAATTAAACAGATATGGTCACGATGGATAATTTCGTTAATAATTTAGGTTAATTTTTCAACGATGGGACTGACATTTAAATACAAAATTGTAAACACAATCGTTAAGATATATAATAATAACTTCTATATTTTCAATTATTTTTAATCATAAAAAATAGAAACATCATTTTTAGTAATATCAAAAATAATTCATTATTACTATAGAATTAATTAGATATTTATTATTTAGAATTAACAATACATTTTCCCATTTAATATCATACAATATTAATTTAAGGCATATTTTAGTAACTGTTATAAAAATATAAATTAGCAGTAATATTGAAATGTTCTTTAGTTTTTTAATATTAATGTAATATAATTTGTTATTTTTAAATTTACTTTCTACAACAGAGGGGAAATAAAACTTATAATGACCGATCATTTATATTAGAGATACCGAAACAATAAAATCAGTGATGATTGACATATCTAAAGGGCAATGCAACTAATAAACTAACATCATTTGAATGCATTCTGGGAAAATTTGTTGATACAGTTATTATAATTAAAACAAGCACGTATATTTATATTTTATATATGATTTTTATAATGATTAGCGTTCCCATAATTTATAATGTAAAATCAATAAACTTAAATGCCACTGAATATGTTAATTATTTTAAATAATTTATAAAAGATTATTTAAAATATTTTATGGATCGACTCATGTTTTTATGTATTGATTTTCTTATTACAATTATCGTGTGTTTGAAATATTGATTATAAATACGTAATACCAATAAATTTTATTTTTAAATGAATATTTATTTTAAAGGGATATAATTATGTAATGTAAAATCACAGATTTGTATCTGAGAAATTTTATTACTTAATCTTATAAAAATGAGAAAAAAAATTTTCGTATTGATCGTAGGAAGAATGAATTATAAAAATTACAAATAATTCGTTTCTAATTATTTAAAAAAACCATGGATAATTACTGGATTTAATTTTCAATCATATCAAATGGAAAATGTCATAACTCGCTAATATAATACTTTTTGTAACGGATTCTATTATTGTCTAGAAATTTTTATATTTATGTAAATATAAATTTGTAAATGAACAATCTCATGTATTTATAAACATTTACAAATTTTTTGTTTTATAATTATATTTATTCGTCTGCTCAATCTTTCGTTATATTTATATTCTAATTTATGTTGGGTATAATTCATTTCGGCTAATAAATTATTCTTTCAACAGTAATCGAAGATTTAATAGCATAGATTTATTAAATTTTAAATGATAATCACATTTTAAAGCACGAGATTTATGCTGTGAAATGATGAGAAATTTAATTTTAAGCGACAAATTTTTAAGTATAAGAGTTTCTCTATTTATAATTTTGTGTTACTGTTAATAATTGAGGACGAAAATAACGTTAAAAATATTTTATTGTCACTT